GTCTGATTTACATATAGAACAATGAGCAAAATATTTATTAATTCGACATTCTCTGAGAAATGCTATATATTTAGGATCTTTCAACCAGTTTTGGTTGAACATACAACGTCTTTTTGACTTTGATGAACATTTTTTTCTTTGATATTAGTAGCTGGCTTGTTTCGGAAACAGGAAAATTCTTCACTTGTTGTTGCTTCTTAATCGTCAGAAATTTCAGCTTCACAATCTTTGTTCAATGCCATGCGAAAATTATTAATAAAACCAAATACATTGAAGGGAAAGTCTAAAACTCGATTCATTTTTGAGACAATATGTATTTATCGAACTTAATTGAAAACAGTAATGAAACGATGGGAAATGAGAAAAGGAAAAAATTCAATAAAATTGATTTCATTATTTCACTATTCATAGTGAAAATAGTATGTAAAACCGATTAATTAAAGACGAAATTAAACGAAATGGGTGCTAATATCTATTGGTCAGTTATTTATCAACACATTTGATTATACATTTCTTTATGAAAATGAGAAAAGTCTAGAAGAAGATAGGTTGTTTTCATTAGAAGATTAGGTAGTCGTATCGTAGACTTAAAAGTTTAAATAGGACACAAAATGGTGAAATGGGTACAGTTGGCAGCCCTGCTCATAACCGAAATATTATTCAAACCAAAAAAAAGCGGCAAATATCTTGCTCTTGTTTCTTCTTCTGGAACAGCAAAATTTTAGGAAAAAAGTTTCATTAGACAAACAGTGCGTCCACAGTATTTTATTCTTTTGTTAATGTCACAGAGCTCCATTTATATATAGCGTCACTAAGTACGAGTCTCTTGACAGAAGGAAATTAGAAACAGTCATATTTAAGTCATGTAGTTTGACTGATATTACTAGAGTATTATTTATGAAATGTCAACAAAGTTCTATAGAAGAAAATGACTTCTACTATTTGTGCCATCGAATTCTGTAGTAGAATTTATTTAATCTCTGATTCAACTTTAAATGAAATGAACTGATGAGGATTTCAATGAAGAGCAAATTATAAGTTGAAATTTCGTCCGATGTAATTGTGCTAAACTTCAAATTTAATTTTTAAGATTCATTGAAGGAAATTTTTACTAGACTATGATAGAAAAAAAAGTTGTTTTCTTTTGGTTAGTGCGTGACAACTTGGACGTGCAACATGCAACATTATCATCACAGCATTTTGACACAATGTAAGAAAAGAAAGAGAGAAATGAAGATTAGAAGCAAGAAAAAAAGATTCACCGGAATGAATGAAGATTAAGAAAAGAATCAGCAGATGAATAACAAAAATTATAACTATCATGATGAATGAATTAAACTATCTTCAAATAATGCTAAGAAAAACATAATTGCAATGCCGAGTAAAAATCCAATATTAACAACAATAAAGCGTTTAAATTCAACTTGTCCATCAGCCAATAAAGTTGGTAACTAGAAGCAAATAAAAATGAAAGTTTGTACCATATAAATATCTATATAATATCTATTAAACATACCAAATCAACAAGTGCTATATAAAGAAACATGCCAATGGTAACTGCAAATATCCATTGACGAATGTTATCATTACTTGATACCGCAGCACCAATAAAAAACCCTATTATAGCAGTTGTAGCCGAAAGAAAATTCCATAGAATAGCTCGATAATGTGAAAAACCAGATTGTATCAATACAGCATAGTCTCCTGAATACACAAAAAAAGAGTTCTATTCATTGAATCGATTACTATGTATATCAAGAATCTACATCTGATACAGTTTTTGTTTCTTCATCTATAATGACAATGAATTTATCAAAAAACATTCTCACCGAGTTCATGTGGTAATTCATGAAAAGCAACGGCTAATGTCGTTGTAATGCCTAAGACAAGGTCTTGACTAAATGCAGCACCAATGGCAAGACCATCAGCAAAATTATGAATACCATCACCAATTAACACCATCCAACCTGTCGATTTGATTGCTAAAAAAATAATTGCCATAATAATAAATCAAAATTAACGTATTTTCGTTTTTTTTCATGCAACAAAAAAAAACATCCGGCATTTATATGTTAGTAAAAATTAGAATAAGCGCGCAAGCGATTAGTTCAAATAAACGACAAAAACATAGACAAACCGTTCTCCATGCCAGATGTCAATGCAGGTTTCGCTGAAATGCATATATTTATAGAGAGTGAAAAAAATAGTTCAAAGCAGACGACTATTACTAACTCATTCTATTAGCAAGTGAAACTCCTCGCCTCGAAAAAATAAAAATTACGCAGAGCAGTTGACTAGTGATCTTATTGATTTACTTTTCAATTCTTGAATAACTGAATGCGTACTTTTTGTATCATTTCTTCCTTGTGGATCAGTAATAACAACAGGTACTGGTACGTGTTCATTATCAACAGCTGTATCGTCTTTCGTATCATGTCCCATCAATCCAGCTGTTGGTCGAGTATCATTTGAATATGCACATGGAACACATGTTGAATTTTTATGTGCACTCATATGACAATTGTGATTTACAGCTGATAACGATGATGCTGTACTTATTTCGTTGGTTACATGCTGATGTAAGTTATGATGTCTATGATTATGTAAACGATGATCATGTTCTAAATCAGCATCAATATCGATAGGTGTATGTTCACAAATTTCTCCATCGGGATGCGAATGATTATGATGAGGCAATGCATGACTATGACCATGAGCATGAAAATGAACTGAATTCTAAATTTTTATAGAAAGAATAAATATTTAATAGAAAAAAAAGAATGCTTATAATTCATTTAACATACAGAATTTTTATGTTTATAATGAGCAAATGAATGCAGAAGTACTTCCAATAGATAAAAACTATAAACAACTAAAGACAAAACATATCTATATCTATATCTATATTAGTTTTTATATTCGTATGCATACTTAATACGCTAATTAACATTTTCCATACATAATCAGGCACAGAAAATGAGCCATGTTCATGTTCACCACGGTCATGTTTACCGTGAAGACCAAGTGCCTAAGAGTATAAATAAAATGTCTAGTGAATTTCAATCGTTTACCGAAATAAATCACATACAAAAGGAATTAAATGAAACATTGTATCGCCAAAAAGTGTTCCGACAGCAAGAGCCGTAAATAAAGTAAGTACATATTGAAAAGATACTTTATAGAGAATAGGAAACGCTAATAAACCAGCAAGTGACAATGCCGATACAATAAATATAGCGAAAAATCCATAACCATATTCTTCGAAGAGAAAAAGCAACTTATTTTTTTCTAATAAATATATTTGTAAGATTTACTTTCAAAATTTGTTGTTGGCTTTCTTTTCATAGACAAGACCCACGAACTGAGACAAGATCGATCAAGAATTTTTTCAACAAACTTTTCATTGCACCCATTATCAAAATCATCTTTCGTAAATAACTGCGATTGAACTATTGGAGTCGAACCAGAAATTGAACAAAGTCGATAAGAAACATTGGATAATAAACACTAGAGATTGAATGTTTAACGAAAAAAACTTATTTTTAACAAGATGGACATGCTTCATGTATTTCTTACTGATTCAGAAAAAACATTATTTATAGATAAAATTAAAATTAACGAAAATAATGGAAAAAATATACGAATCATATGTAAGAAGACCATATCTAAAAAATATATTATTTTAATCTATATTGATACGTTAGAAGAAGAAAAAAACTAAGTATATCTTATTGAAAAATGTCTTTGAGAGTAATATTTTTTTCACCTGATTCGATATTTTTCTTACTCTTAACTTTTTCAAGATCGGATTACACGGATGGAGATATTTCGATGTAAATGATAGCCATTAACAATCCTAACATTCATTCATTTATGCTTTCGTTTCAAAAATTTATCAAATAGATATCCATGCATTGTCAACAAAAATCTACTCCAGAAAATAGCATCTATTATTTAATTCAATCAAATATAAATAGAGCATACACATGTTAATGTTCGATATGAATAAATCGTTTTCGTGACATACACAAGAAAAAGGAAAGATATAGCAAGGCCAAATGCAGAATTTACGTACATCCTTCAGAGAATAATAGTGTAAACGTACTAAAACCTACGCATCTGAGAAACAGAACACACGGGTAAAAAAAATGTTCGAAAAAATGACAGAGCAAACGAAGGAAACTGGAGAAAAAAAAGAAAAAAGAAATCATACTCTTATACGTTTGCATTGTAAAGCTAGAAAGAAAAAAAGCCTTTTGCCATACCTAGAAAGAAGAAAAATCCTTCACTTGGATATATAGTAAATGTATTGTTTTTTTTGACGAAGCAAATGGCGGACAAAGAGAGAAAATACCCCGACGTTCTTCTTCGCTCTCTCTCGTAACTAATATATATATTATGTGAACATGTATGCATTATTACAGAAGAAGCGCACTACATCAGCAACAGAGAGAGAGAGAGAGAGAGAGAGAGGAAAAAAAAATATTTGATGCTCGCAACACATGCGCTAGAACGAGAAAGAGAGGCCTATCAACAAATGCACGTGGAGCCATTAATTATACGAACAATATTTAAAACTTGTTTAAGCTGTTTATCTAATAAAGTATCCGTATAACTAGATTAATCTCTATTTCTCAATAATTTAGAATAAATATTCTTCGAAATATCGTTTCTAGTATTTTCTGAAAAAGAAAAACAAACATAAATTTGAATAAGATCCAATTGAACGGAACGTTAATCACTTCATTTACATATTTATTTATAGAAAATTTTATTTTTCACGTTGCGAAGAATATTTCTCTGGTGATACAAAAAAATAAAATAAATTACTAATACCAACGAGCCCTCAAGATAAAACGTCTACCGGTACGCAAACACGTTGCAACATGGACATAATCATCTCGTTTAGAATAGGATATATTCTATAAGTCATAATCGTAAAAATAAATTGATGTCATCATAGATAATTATGATAAAAATGAAAATATACGATTCAACTTGATCAGATATATTATGTAGAACAAAGGTAAATAACAATTATTAATCAGTGAAATAGATTTTTTCCTACTATTAAATATCATATACCCCGTAGCATTCAATATATTTGTACTGTTATCTAAAGAATTGCATTGCCATGATAGGTCGATATTACTTTTGTAAAGTTCAATCCTATTCATCTAACCTGATTTGATCATTTGTAATATCGTTGTTTTTTCCTCTCATTATATAACAAATCCTCAATAGGATGATTTTTCTTTCGCAAGAAAAAAACGGATGGCCTGAAATTATTTTCTCCATTGGAAATTTTTCATAATCGATTCACTATTGTATATTATACAAGTTGAATGCTTTACGTTGATATTCGAAAGGATATATACATATGCCCTCGCTACTATAACATGTATGCGCGAACAGCGAAAATGTCATGCAGCGTGTGCATACAATCCCTATTGTAAGAAATCGACGTTGGTCGACCGATTGGCCGCTTGCTTATACTTAGTCATTGTGAGACGAGTAAAGAAAGGAAGAAAAAGCAAAACATTCATTCTCGTCGATAGAATACTAGCTATCTTGTTTAGAGCGGTTTAAATGACAACGATAGAACAACCTACAGGTCATTTGATTATTCTTCTTTTTCCTCTGTATGCTGAACAACATAGCTGTTTTTTTTTGTGGTCTACTATAGAAACGCTCATGGAAGAAATAGAGTGCCGTCGTCTATCGACGATTTATTGAGAAGGAAGAAAAAAATACTGTTGGCTGACCTGCCTCGTTCTCATCAGACATTTTGTTCATATGTATTGGCTGTCTTTTTATTCATAATTATTTATCTGAATTGTCTTTAAGTATCTATACATGTGCGTGTATATTTATGTTTTTTTTCTCTTTGGTCCTCTAGATGACACTCTATTTGGTGACAGATGCATTTCGTAAACTTGGCTCACCGGCTATTAAAAATGACGACTTTTATGATCGATTAAGTCGTAAATATTCATTAATTATTCTTGGTGTTTCGTTTTTAATTATTAGCACATCACAGTTTATGGGCAGCCCAATCAACTGCTATACACAAAATGTTCCTGGTGCACATGTTAGTTACGTTAATTGGGTTTGCTGGATAAGTCCGATGTATCATGTACCATTTGACAAACCGTTGCCAAAAGGTCATGCTAAGCCGCACGAATACATGTATGTTAGAAAATGAAAAATCGAATTGAATGGAATTTTTGAAATCTTTCGTTTTAGCTCATATTATCAATGGGTACCATTTATTTTACTTTCAATGATGTTTCTTTTCTATTTACCTGGTTTTATATGGCGTAATCTTAATAAAGCATGTGGTATTAATACAAAAGTTATTATTAAAATGATTACAGATATGGATCAATTGGATGGTGAAAAAAGAGAAAAAACTGTGCGAGCTTTAGCTAAACATATTGATAAAGCTTTAGCTTATCATCGAGAATATGAATATGGATTTATGTATGCATTATTTTTTATTGGTTCCAACTTGTTTTTTTACCTATAGAAATGTCTAGAAAGTAGAAGTTTTGAGAAAACGTTTTTTCACTATCAGAAATATCGATTTTCATAACAGTTTAGTAAAAATACTTAAAATATGATTATAAGATTTGAACATTAAACCTTCGGTTCACAATGAAATTAATATCATATTAAGAATGAATACAAAAATCTGCATTGCATGGTATATGTAATCCTTTAAAAGTAATCTTTGTTCTAGAGTGAAGATGCGAAAAATTGGCAGTAGGAGAAAAAATTTGACCTAACCGGAAGTAAAGATTAAAGTCTTAAAATAGCGATCTGATCTTACTCTAAGAGACTTCATCCTAAAAAGAAAATTCTTTATACTCGTATTCAATACTGATAGAAATTGATACACAATGATAGAGTTTTTTGTAAGCAAGATATGTCCCAAGGTAATTTATCGTCAGACACCAGTTATAATTTGACATTGTCATCCTTTTTTTTTATTTTAATATTAATTAGATATAGTATTCGTCGACGTATGGGTCTATTATTTTGTTGTATAATGGGTCGCCATTCGGGAAATTATTTAGCAGTGACATACATTTTCGTTAAATTGCTTTATATTGCAAACGCTATTGGCCAAATATTTCTTATGAACGTATTTATGGGTCATGGATTTAGTTTTATTGGTATTGATACAATGAAACATTGGTGGAATGGACCAAGTAAAAATGATACTGAACGTTTTCCGCGAATAGCAATGTGCGAATTTTCTATTCGAGCACTTGGTGACAATCTTCAAGATTTTGAAGTTCAATGTCTTCTACCGATTAATATATATACTGAAAAAGTAAAAGAATTCTTTGCAAGTTTTTCAATCAAACGAATTGGCTCTTGTTGTTTTTAGATTTTCATATTCATTTGGTTTTGGTTTGCAATTGTAGCTTGTGCATCAATCTATGGTCTTGTTAAATGGTGCCTGTATTTTACAGAATGTGCACGAAAAAATTTCATTCAAAAATATTTAGAAGCAAATGAAATCCGTTATTATACATCAACGCCATCATCATTATCATCAACTGGCATCGGTTCAAATTGTGATCCAGATGATCAAGCACCAATGAAATGCTTAGAAGATTTTGTTAATAATTATTGTCGTCAAGATGGTCTGCTTCTTTTACGTATTATTAAAAAAAATACAAATAAAGTTATTGCTGGTGAAATTATTTGTGCACTATGGGATAATTGGAAAGTAATGCCTCAGATTCGGTTTCATGCATCGTCAGAATCGGATCATTGTGGTCAAATGCTCAATTTAAGTGTGAAAAATCCATTGAAACAACGTGATACTGGTGATGTAAATGAAAAATTACTACCACCAATGTGAAACATATTATTATGAATTATTGAGAAAACTCAATTAGAACCTTTCAATGAGGATGATCATTTTGTCGTTTTTTTTGTTTTCCTGTATACATACAAAATTTGATAGTTAGCTACATGCATTATGATTTCTTTTCTTCTTGTGCATTTCCTTCTATCTATGTAGTGAATTAATAAACGTTTTGTGCACCGAAAATGATCTCGACTGTTTAGTTGGAAGTTAACTTTTTACTATAAGATTTTGTGATCCGCAGGATTTATTAATGTGTATAATTTGCAATAGGATCTTTAATTGAAACTTAAAAAGAAATGAACATTGATAGAATGTATAGTTGAATTCAATTGAAACTTTTTGTGTTTTAATAAATAAGTGTGTCGATTGATGAATAATTAAAATCAAGATTATCAGGTATATAGTTTTATTGTAAACAGTGACCAAGTGCGCAGCGTAACAAGTCCACACGTATATAATATGTAGACAGTTATTATTTTCTTTTCAGAAAGAATGAAGTTTAATATGATTGACTATCAAGATTCGATAAATTTTCAAGTCCACTAATCTTCATATCGGTGCATTTTTTCTCTCACATGTACTTAAACGTATCTGATGAGAATAGAGAAAAAGAATAACATTCAAATAAGATGAGTAAATGGATGTAAGCATATATATATATATAATCTCATTGTTATACACAAAAGAATCGATAAGCGATGAGCGGATCAATCGATATGATGCTCGCTTATATTGACAAGAAATTTGATATTAAAACGGTTGACTGACTCTGACCGAAGTATTCTGATAGTGTTGCTCCAAGTAACAATACATTGCTAGCATTAACGTGAAAACAATTTATGATTTCTTTAGGATGGACCGATAATTCGCGGTGAATGAATTTTTTAGTTCAGTCTACTGTATTCACATTCTAATTCTCAGAGCAAATTGTTTGATTTCCTGTCACTAGCGTCATCTATTATAGTTATTTTGTACGTATTTGTATTAAATCATTCAAAGATGAAACTTCATGAGATAATAGATTTCAAATATTGTTCACTATTTTCATTTATTTTTTATTTATATTTATTAATATATGATTGGCTGATCAATGAAATACCACTGTGCGGACTTGATACGCTGGCAAAAAGTTAAATCAATCTCACACGATTCAATCAATTTGTCATTTATTACATTGATGAAAATGCAATTTGTTCTTAGCTCTGCGATAATATTTTTTCTATTGATTGAACATATAGCTTCGATTAGTTTTCATTTACCCCTTCAAACAAGAAAATGTCTAAAAGAAGAAATTCATAAGGTAAATTTTCATTCCCGAACATCGACAATTTTTATCTAACGAAAATTATTTTATTTAGGATGCCATGGTAACGGGTGAATATGATATAACAGTTCTTCCTGGTTTAGTAACTCATCTCGATGTAAAAGACACCAAAGGACATACACTCTATAATAAAGAAGATGCTACGAAAGGCAAATTTGCATTTACCACAGAAGAATATGATATATTTGAAGTATGTTTCGAAACGAAATTACCAGCTGGCCAGCAACAACATCATTTATCTGCTCAACATACAACAAAAGAAGTGACAATTAAAATAAAACATGGTATCGAAACTAAAGATTATGATGCATTAGCTAAAGCAAATAAACTGAAACCATTAGAAATTGAATTAACTCGTCTAGAAGATTTATCAGCAGCAATTGTGTCTGATTTTGCATATATGAAACAACGTGAAGAAGAAATGCGTGATACAAATGAATCAACAAATAATAAAGTTCTTTATTTTTCCATTTTTTCCATGTGTTGTTTATTGAGTTTAGCTGTTTGGCAAGTACTCTATTTACGACGATACTTTAAAGCCAAAAAACTTATTGATTAATCTAATTGAGTTAATACGAACAATAAATACTGTTTTTTTTCTTTCTTTGTTTGGTTTTCTTTATGCATTCTAATTAAAAAAAAGAATTCTATTATTTCTCAATAAGGTTTTTGTTTTTTATTTTTGATTAATTTTGTTTGTTGTATTGTAGAATAAGTTTTCTGATAATGCTTTCACTCTGTTGTTATTTGGCTTGGGAAAAGGATCATTTTACTAAAGATTAGATTTCACGGGAAAACAAACATACGTTTCTCATTTTGTAATAGTTGAAGAATCATAAAATTTTATTGTATTAAATTGTTCACAAGGATGAACAAATTTCTAATAAAATTTGTATTCTTGTGCATATTATAAATTGAGTTCGCTTATAGCAGCAGCGCAGAGAAAAAGATAAATGTCCATCCATTGTCACATCATTGCAGCATTACTTCAAAGCAAATGCGACCTGTATATTGTACTTACAATAATCATCATGTAACTTATTCATCGGCAGCGAATAATTTTTAAGTCTGAAGAATCATTTTTACAATAATGTCTGTTTCAATGCTATCGCGGAAGGCCTATTAATAGACAAGTCTTGTTTTAAAATTTCCATTGTCAGCTAAGTTTGGAATATTCCGTATTCGATTTTCGAATTCGTTTACTATGGCTAATAAGAAAACGTTTTGCAGTTAAGAATAGACTATTTAAGCCTCTATAAGCAGTTGAAGGCTTTTTCTTGTTCTGTTTCATTTTTTTTCTTTTCTACTGTTTGCATACTGTTTACGGTGCGCGTTAAATTATCTTGCTCTTTCTTGTAATTTTTAAATAAATTGTCCATAAAATTAAGCTCGACATAGCTGGAAACGTATTGAATCATAATATATTGCTTGACGAGGCAAAATGTGAAATTCAGCCCGAAATCCTACATTTGACAAAGAATTCGAAATAGTAAAACCCCATTTTACTACAAAAATGTGTGGTGTTGAATCAAACAAAAATATGCCACGTACGTATAAAAATTGCTACTCATCTGTAATAGAATTCATGTACGATAAGTATATTTGCCATAAAGTCTCATATTTCACATACGATTAACAGAATTATCTTGTTATCTAATGGAATATCTTTTGAAATGCAATATTTTTGCAACGAAAAATCTGACTCCATTGTGTTTGCGCATATAAAACGTTACTAGGTCACGGAAGAAGAACAGTAATAAACGTAGAAAACGTTAACATGCTGATGAAATACTGCGCACCATGCACATCATACTCGTTTCATGACGTCATATGACGCTTGCAGCAATGAAAGCAACGATAAAAACACAAAATCTTTTCGTGCTGATGCCGCTACTTTTTTTTACCAAGAAAAGACACAGAAGTGAATTTGAATCTCTCGGGTATATATACAAAGTATTTACCTACCGATTTTATGAGAGAAACTAAAATAACTCTCATGCAAGTTGGACATGCACCAGCTATTTTAAAAAATTGTTTTGCCTAAAAAATTCCCTAATTAACAAAAGTAAGTATATAGTTATGGAAAACTTGAAAAACTGATTTCGATTATAGTGACAAAGGGAAATTCATGAGTATCCAATGATATGAGTGCTTTCACTCCATAATTGCAAACTTAAGCATAAATATGCAGCATACTAATATCTTGTAAGCAGTTTCAGAATAGGTAATCATTTGCTTCTTTTTTTTTGGAAGGTTTTTTTCATAATGAGAATGTATTTAAAATACATACTGCAATGAAATTGGTTTATCGGGCTTATTTCTCATGTTGTTTCTTTATGAAAATGTTTACCTTATGTTAGTTTAGAGGCTCTCAACAAGAATTCATACAGTTCGGAACTAGTGTAGGTTTTTAATTAGATTATTGGAGTTGTCTCTTTTTTATTTTCACAATATCTAAAGTAATATATACTAAATAGGTGTTGTTTCTGTTTGAAAATTTAAGATTTAAATGGCAACTAACATACCATCGTGGGCACAAAATGCCATTGTACACGGTTCAAATGATTCATTTCTATTACTTGATATCTTTCCAAAAGAGGTAGTTGATGATTTATTTTATAAACTGCACGATGAAGTCAAATGGAATACAATGCGACAAAAAGGTAAACGTGTACCACGCGAAATCTGTATTCAAGGTACAATAACCATTGAACACAACGATGAATATGAACCCCTCTATCGACATCCAGCCGACGAACAACCTGAACTTGTGTCATGGACACCAACCGCATGGACAATAAAAGAACGAATTGAAGAAATTCTTCAGCAAAATATAAATCATGCATTAATACAATACTATAGAAATGGAAAAGATAATATTGGTGAACATTCCGATAAAACATTAGATATTTTACTTAACTCAAATATTGTTAATTATAGTTTAGGTAAAACTATAGTCAGCAACGAACCATCATTGATTATCTTCTTTTTTATCTGTAGGTGCTGCTCGTAAAATGACTTTAATAAATAAACGACAATATGGTATTCGAGAAGAGTTTAAATTACCGCATAATTCTCTATTTATTCTGGGCTGGCGAACCAATCGTGAATGGTACCATTCGATTCGTCCAGATAAACGACCTAATTCGGAAAAAGATCCCGATGAACTTGCTTTCTATGGTGAACGTATTTCATTGACATTACGAAGTGTAGCAACATTTATAAATCGCAACACCGGTCTTATCTATGGACAAGGTGCACGATATAAAACAATTAGTGAACAAACAGAAGATTCTGCTGATCGATATGAAAACGATGAAATGGATATGTTATATGCGTTTAGTGCTGAAAATCGGCAATCATCGAATTTTGATTGGAATGCAAATTATGGCCGTGGATTTAACGCATTGAATTTTAAAGTTCTTAATTCACATCATGGCAAAGGAAGAAAATGAAAATCTCGAACGGATCGATCGTCTTTTTACAAATTCATTGTCAAATAGTGTTTTCTCTCTTATTTTTTTGGAATATATATTCTTTGGTAAAAAATAAAACCAACAATAATAACAAATAAAAACTTTTAACAGAGATTTAAAAAAAACATTGAACAGAAAAATAAAAATAAACCAACAAAAATTACTCTTATTAGGTTACGATACATATCGAATAAATTCATTCAATAAATACCATCATTGATCATAACTCCAGTCACTTCGTACTTTTTCATACAGGTATCGAGATGTGCAAATAGGATTTCTAATCGTCGATCAAGCGCTTCGAGATGTTCTTCAACAAGAATCGTTTGTAAATCTTCACCTGCATTTAACGAATCTGCAACTAATTTGGAAAAACCTTGATGATAAATCTTATATAAACGCATAAATGTTGCATAACGAAAAAAGCAACATTGCCGAATTGGCGTTAAAATTGATAAATCGTCACTATCATATCGACCAAAACTTCGACCATTATCCAAATGTACTAAACCTGTATTAGTGCCTAGCGAATTAATACGCATCATATGATGACGATCCAAATTGCCTAAAATGAATATTAACAAATAGTACAACAATAAAAAAGAAAAAGAAAAAGAAAAAGAATTACCTATAAGAAAGTCGAATGCAGATAAATCCATCATATCAAGTAGTAAACGATTGTGATAATCCTCATCTATCATGACATGTTCGTAACAGAAGTTTTCATTCGATTCCCATTCAACTTGTTTTATTGCGCTATACGATCGACGGTATGGATGAGTAATTTTTTGCCAATTAATTTCTGGTGGTCTCGGTAGGAGGACTTGAACAGAGCCTTCTAAAAAATCACCTGGCTTACCACAAACAGCATGCGATGTATCACAATAATACGAACAATGGCCACGAAAGCAAGTATTATTAGCTAAAAAGAGAAAATCGAAATATTTAAATCCTTTGAAAAAAAGACTTTTTCGTTTACCGGGCGAAATAAAAAATGTTTTAGCTAATTCCGCAGTGGCTTTCTCGCGGATGTCACTAGTTATATTAAAAAATCGTCCGATCAATGGAGGAACACGATTAAAACCAAGAACTCTAGGAATAATATTTTTTTCTATCATCACATCAAGACTCAATCATAGAATTTACTTGTCTACATGAAATGCTGCTATCTCAGCATGATGCCGTTCAATGTCACTGAAATAGAAATGATCCGGTTGTGTTTGATAATTGCGCGGCACTCTAGATAGATAGATAAAGAATTCTTGGTAGGTTAGAGAATAATAAAATTTCTATATACCTATAAGGTTTTAGTAATCCTTGAAGGCCATTTGGTAGTCCAAGAAGAATTTTAATCTGAGTACCTTGTGACATTTCATCTTGAAAAGAAATTTCAAGTCTCAAATTAATAGATAGATTTCATTGACATACTTGCTTCAGATATTGCACCATGTTGCAAGTGTTTGAAAACATTTTTCAATTCAGAACTATTCGGATCATAGACACGAAAATTCGTGATTGTTTTTATGTATTGAAACCATGTTGTATTCAATCGTCTAAAATGATTAAAACAAGAAGTTCGTCACGTTTTATTCAGAAAATTGATAATTATTAAATCATGAATACGACCAAAAATAAACGAAGCATGGCGAATTTAGATTGAATCTACGACTTGGCTATGATTACTGTAAAGAAAAATCCTTTTTTCAGTGATACTTGAACTCTTCTTTCCCTAATGTCACAGAATCTCATGTGACATTTCTTTTTTTTTCTATTTAGAAGATTAATTTTCTAGTCCATTTTATTCATTCGAGATATGCACTGAATGAACGTGTTGGACGAAAAAAAAGCATGACATGTATTTAAGGTCAAACTATAAGAAAAAGTTTTTTCGCGCATATAATTTTCTAATTGCGATTACTAATAAAAAGGTTCGTGTTGACATGAAAATTAAATTATACGATTAGATAATACCTACTAATAGTGAATTTAAATACTTTTTATACTAAGATATGCTTCAATGCATCAAGCGTACATTTACCACTAATGTCACTATTCGCCTTGTAACTCGTTTTGATCATTAGATACAGAAAATAAAAGAAAATAATTTTTCATGCTGTCAATATCATTTAGCATAATAGAATAGTAGCTGACTGAATCATCTTGTTTCTTATCAAAATAAAGCAGAGCTACTAATCATCCAATTAGCTGTAAGCAATACTCTCAACCATAATATCCATGATGCAAAGCTGATCGTCGTAATCAATAGTTAAAGGAACAATTATTCTAATAGACATAAAATTTATACTCACTCAGGTTCATCTTGTGCCAATGAATCATGCATAACATCACCTAAACTTATAGTCGTATCGTTCATATGTTGTTTTTTCCATTTCAATAATGCATCAAGTATAAAATATCGTAATTGTATTTTATCATGTTCACTCGTGACTTTTTCTGTCGCTGTAAATTTCGATTGAATATTTGACTTTGCTCCTTGTACACCAACTGAATCTGCCGTATCAGTATGTGTATTTGTATCATTTGAACCGGTTTGTGGTTTTTGTCCAGCAAATTTTCCAAAACTCCATTTTCTATTATGATCAGAATCTTTTTTCAAATTCGACGAGCCTACTTGATTGTTTCGAGCATTACGTACTAATTCAAATAGTTCATTAATACGTTGACGAGTTATAGACGATGAACGATTTGTTAACTTGTTTGAATCAGTTGCTTGCAAATCATAAACATTTGGCTGATGGAAAGCAGACCAAAATGGCATATCAGAAGGTGGCTTATGACGTATCAAAGCTTGTTCCGGTGGTTCAAGTTCAGCTGTTGACCATAGTAATGTATGAAGTGCCAGAAGAAAGAAAAGAATCAATGTTGTCAAACTGAACAGTATCGAAAAACGTAAACGAAGGCGTGAGTACCGCATTCATTTATTACACTACGGTGATGATTCGATGTGTCTATTTCTTAAAAACAGAAAGATGCATGTTTCATAATACATATACATATACGTGTATGATTTTTTCTTCTTTCGATTCCTTTGCTTCACCTACGCTTTCTTTCCTCATTTGCGTTTTTAAATCTAGCTTTCTAAATTTATCTTTCTATTCAATCAAATGATTTTTATATACTAGTCTTTTGCAATAATAAATATTCTTTTCTGAATACGACAGATTTATCCAGCTGAAGTTTAGAAAAACTATTAAATAATGTCTTAAAAAACAAATGTGACTATTATTTTTGTATGTTAAAATGAAACTCATCAGCAATAATGGTCACAAGAAAAATGTTTGCTATATAATTTTCTGGAACTCACATATATTTTCGAAGGAAATGGTGAGTGTAAGTTTAAAAGCGAGATTTTTACGGCTCCCCACCCCTCCCCATTACAGACATAAATGAGTTTAAAATTGTGCTAATCAGGTGCTTGACTAATTAGGCTGCTATTTCTTCCTTTTTCAATTACAGATTACACGAAAAAGCAATGCTTGCCCATTACAGACCATAGTGACTAGTCTCTGCCATTGTTAAATATACGAGCTAACAATGAATACTCCATTACAGGCATAAGCAAATAGGCAATGACCTAATTATAGGTTTTTTGGAAATCAGGGTAGATTTTTTCGATGAACTAGTTTGAATTATTTTCGTAAGTCTAAGGGATATATGTGAGTTCCACATTTTAGCCCCAACGGGGCTGCGCTGAAAAGCTTTTTGTACAAAATTTACTTGCAAGACATGCGGTAAATTAAACATAAATTATATGAACCCCTGGAGAAAGCAAAGCTTCGATGAATCATATCTTATAGTTATGAGAATAAACTTAAGGATTCAAAGACTTAAAATTTCTTTGATGACAAACAAAAATAAAACTAACATGAAAAAATTTCTGACAGAATCATAAAGTAATCGGTGAAATATTTTGCTCATATAGAGTAATGAATATTTTATAGTCGTCTAAATACGTACGAAAAAAAGGTCTAGATAACCTGATAGTTATCGAGGATATTTATAGAAGTATTCGAAACGGAAAAGTATGATCATGCTTTTCAGATTAAATCTATACAAACAAATATCGTGAAAAATGAATTAATTTATGTTTTAATTATTCAATAAAAAGTAAAAAATTTTAACTTCGTATGTCACAAATCCAGGAATATTATCAAAGGTCATGTCGTTTATTTGCCCTCAACTGATAAGAGACGACTTACTAAACAACATTTTTACCATTCATATTTATTATAACATAAAATTCTGATTTCCCTTAGCAGTACTGTAGAAAAAAAATAATCTTGTATTTCTAATACATCAGAAAAAAGAGAAAAAAAAGCAACAATTACGAGTAGCTAACATAAGGAATATATCAGTGGAGAATATACGACAACTACTCGACAATGACGTATCGTAAGAGAGAATTTCTACGGCAACGTGGTCAATCTTATTAGTTACTGTGCTAGTACATTGACAAATCCCACGTGCTATAGAATATCAATTCAGATTTTATAGTGTCTTACTTATTTTTATACTTAAAGGGAAGTAGTAGAACACTAATCAAATTTTGCCATATTTCCGTTGGTTTATGTATATTTTTAATAGAAACAGCTCAATTGGTTGTTTGAAGCAGAGCGAGCCACAAAAGAGTTTGTTTCATGCTAAGTCAATTCTGGCAGCAAAGAAAAAAAACAAATAATTTGGTCAAATAAAAGCACCAAGAGAGAAAGAGAAGAAGAAGCAGAGAACAACGTCGTCTTCGGTAATATTAGAAAAAAAGAATCTCTATGTCTATGCAATCGATAGTCGTACGCACTCTTTTCCTCTGTTACAATCGAAGCACATGGAGAACATGTATAAACAGTAAGGTGAATTAGAGAAGAACAAAAAAAAAATGCCTACTTATTTATATTAAGACATGCATAGAGAATGAAGTTTACCACAGAAAAAAAGACATCGCATGTAGCAAGCACGAAAGCTCCCACTGCGAATATCCATTATCTGTTGTTGAAAAGTGATCATTACAAAAAGATAGTTCCTCTTATCCACCTTTTCTCTCATTGATCATTGGCAACTAACCTTGAAAACAACGATTAAATAAAAATAAATCTTATTCAAATAGAATCCATATAATAACTACATTTGATCATGGAGTTTTTAATAAAATACTCAATTAAAAATTCATTCTAATACAAAATAATTTTGATCCTTTAATACTACTATAACAGGAAAAATCGCATTGTCCCTAGATGTGCTCATTAACTAATAGCATGAAACGTATAATAATAAACTCGATGATTTTTCGATAGTGTACATCATTAGTCTACCATTGAATAGTAGAATAAATAGCATACTGATTGCGACTATTTGAATGATTATTCATGAATAGATTTTTGATTTGAATTTATATTCATGGTCCATCGACGATAAAGTTGATTATAGCTCAATCACTAAGCAATCTGAATCTAGAAGATAATCCAATTTTTTTGTAGCTGAATTATTTTATTTAGGCAAGAAAAATGTTTTGTACTAAAACTACACATAGACAGTGTTCCGATGAAGATGACTAGTGCCTGAAAGAAAAGCACCTCAAATAACTTATACAGAAGAACAACTGCAATGTTCTTGAAATTTTACTGCTGTGACAAATGGTGAAGTACATAAACTGTCGCTTTTTTCGGACTTCCTCTCCAGAGAGGCAATGCATACACATCTATTATTAAACCGGCAGCTAGCTACTATAATTATATTCTAGTTAATTGATTTTTTCCTTTTTTGGACCAAAAAGTAATTCTGACGAGATTTTCAAGGTTTAGCAATGATAAATAATAAATCAAGAGAGAGATATTCTTGCCTGGCTGCAAACCCGTACTCGAATCTCTTAACATAAAACTAATGCATGGCGATCTTATTTAATACTTTAAAAAAATAAAAATAAATGCCCCTATAAGAAGAACTAGTCAACTGCACTCATTTTCATAAAATTTTCTTGTATGAACTCTTACATATTAATAATAGTAAGCGTGCTAGCGCCAATGATGTTATTATAAGAAGAAAGAAAATGCAAAATTCAGCTCTCTTTCAAATCAATTTTGAAGTATTCATGAAGAAAAATAGTTCAGTATTACTCCTTGAGAATGTTTCTTTTTTGTCAAATCAAATAACATGTGGCGAACGACAAGCTTTTTTTTCTTCAACATCAACTTTCGATTCTTCAACACAAATATAAGACCATGCATCGATTTACTTATATATGTATATATTTCAATGCTTAAAAATGAAAAATTCCAATTCAATATCGAACAAAATTAGAACATACTTGAACATATGTTTTACATCATTACTGCAAATGTTAGCAATGGCTAGAGAATAATTATCATATGAATATAAGACCCGATAATTGTATACGTATCTTCATCTTACAATATGACAAATATAGAAAGTGAACTGCATTTTTCCTAGCAGTCTTCAGTTATTTTATAGATTCAGTAGTCGATTTTCTAGATGTCATCTTCGGAGCATGAGACCAATATTGAACTTATGGACGGTAATGCATGATTCAAGTGATAGATTTTTTATCAAAAATGTTGGGCGATCGATATTTACGGGAAATTTGTTTTCTAAATCTCCATAAGTTTCATCTTGGTCCAATGCTATGTACTTGAAATTTATTATAAACAAAACTCCTGGATCGGCTACTGTATAGATTGTAATCAAACTAGATAATCATTCTAAGTTGCTCTAAATTTCTTGCAATGCAAAATTTATTATATCGTATTACCTTAAACATGCCCATGAACGATATAGTTTGAACTTAAAAAGAAACACAATTTTTATTTCTTTGCTTATAGATCATCTATCAAATTGAATTTTCATGAATGTTTCTGACACTTGTGAGCACGGATCTTTAGCCTATTCAGTTGAATCTCACGCCAGTTAACACGATATGCATGAACTATACTACATGAATCAAAATTTCTTAGGAAAAAAGTGTCACTTCAAATGTTGGTATTTCATCTCGATAGTCTTTCTTTTAATATGTTCGAGCGTGATCAGATGAGTCTAGAATAGACGTACACTCATATTCTCATTTAATATGATTGATTCATTGGTATTCTCAGCATCTGTACTGTAACAAACGTTGGATTTCTCTTATAATGCCTTTCCTGTTTATCTTGTAATGTGAATGAACAGGAAAATTTAACTTTGCTTATATATTTACCATATTAGCTATCAAAAATGATGAGCACATAGTTGTTGTCGTCGATGGAAGAAAACAACAGTAAGATAGGTTTTGCATTGCTTCAGTCATGTAATATTAATCAATTACTCTAGAGCGTCTTCAACAAAGACGGATATCATATATATATATGAGACCATAGAAATCAGTCTTCAGGCATATACACTATCAGAATAGAAAGATTTCAAGGGATGCCATAACACCATGTTCTTTTCACTGTTGTCCTGCTTATCTATGTATATAATAGAAGACTTCACAATTCTCGTTTAATATTCTTTCGTTGTCAAACAAAACAAAAGAATGATAAAGATGATTTATTCGGTTATGACAATAACTCAAAGTAAGCCATCCTAGATTGATAACAAATGGTTGCTGTTAGTCGTATTCTCAATGGAACATAAATAGCAATTAAATGCAAATAATAACTTCATCAATAAAACTTCCAAACTAAAATGCAGTAAACATGTATCATCTTAATGTGTTGGCCTTATACTAAGTCGATTTCTACGAGGGCTGTTATTCTAGCTATCTATGTTTTATGTGTTAATGGGATTCGTTTAATAAAAAAGAACGTATCGAGTATTGCACAACAATCTGAATTTTCAAAATGGTAACGTCAAGAATAGAAAGAAACAACGGTTGCTCAATCGTTGTGCAATGACATGCTTGTGACTGGCGCATTTTATATATAAAAGACGCAAATTTTGTTGTTTAAAACATTCTGAAGTTCTAGAAAATTTTCCTATTAATCAATACAAATATCAACAGTAGACTTAATTACCATGGCGGAAGCATCTTCTACAGCAACTACAGCTAATCTACCTACAGAATTAGATCTTGCATTTATTATTGATGCTACAGGAAGCATGGGATCTTATATAAAATCAGCTCAAGAGGTGACTATTGATCTAAACGAACAAATAAAAATAAAATTATCCATGAATATTGCATTTAGAATATGCGAAATATTGTTCAAGATATTATTATTAGTGAAAAATGTTTATTGAATGTTGCATTAATTCTTTATCGTGATCATCCACCTCAGGATAGCACATTTATTATTAAAGTTAATAATTTTACGGATGATATGGAAGAGGCAAAGGCCAATATTGATTTAGCGTCAGCTAGTGGAGGTTTGTTTTTCTATTCTTCTTAAGCAAATATTATCAGTAACAAGGGAAAAAAAATATATTTAGGTGGTGATGGTCCTGAAGCTATGACGCCTGCATTACATGCTGCTGCACATACTTTATCATGGCGAACAAATGCAGTTAAAATCGCTATTCTTATTGCTGACGCTCCTCCTCATGGACTAGACGTTAACGGTGACCATTGGCCTAATGGTAAAATACATCTTTTTTTGTAATATTTTTATTTTAAAATGACTTTGTATTTATAGGTGACCCATCGGGACACGATCCTATAGAATGTGTTGCCTTACTTGCTGAACATGGTATTACGCTATACACAATTGGATGTGAGCCAGCTGCAACTGTTTATCGGGATTTTCTCATGGCACTTGCATTTAAGACTGGTGGTCAATATATACCATTGGATACTTGTGCTAATTTAGCTTCGGTTATTGTTGGTTCAGCTAAAGAAGAAATCTCTCTTGAACGGCTAATCGCTCAAGTACACGAAGAAGTTATGCGTGAAGCTGCATTACGTGGGGGTCCAGTCGATGAAACGAAACTGACTCGACGTCTTCATGAAGTGATGGAAAGTGGAGGTACATAGAAAATGATATTAACAGTTAAATAAAGAAGACTATATATATATATATATGTATATATCGATTCTTTGTTGAATAGGTGTTAAAGCACGCCGAGTGAAAATGGATAATCAAGATGGAACAAAAAGTATTCCATCATTAACACCAACTGCCGAATACCTTTCTACATTGACCACATTAAAAGAAGTACGAGACAAATGGGTGGCTAACAAATCAATACCGACAGCTCCTGTTGCTCCTACACTCTTTGGAGGAATATTTGGTGCTAGTAAAACGCCAGCACCGACTTCAATACGAACGAAGAAAGCACGCGTTCGTACACGTGTGATGTAAGCTATTAGACTTCTCTATAGATTTGCCCTGTTTATTAACACCAATGCCCTATTTTAGCAAGAAGAAATCTGTAAAAACAGGAAAAACAGCAACAAAAGTAAAAACCATAGTCAAGAAGAAAAAAGCTAAACGATCGGTTGGTCGTGGTATTCGCCGAAGTACTCGTATAGCATTCCGTGGAAATCATGAAGAAGAAGAAGAAGAAGAATCAACTGAGAATGAAGAAATGGAAGTAAGCTATTAGTAGATTCTATTTATAAATTACTAATTATTAAAAAACAAAACTTAATTTTAGACATCAACACTACCTGCTGCAAAACCAGCCAAAATGATACCTCACATATCACATATAACTTTAGCAGACGATGAATTGCTTGATGTTAGTCAAACACGAAGGCTTGTTCGTAAATGTGTTGCTCGTAATAAACTTAAATAGACCTGATTTAATTTTTTCTATTTATTATGTTGTAATATGCTTAGTCCAATAAAATGTTCTTACTTTCAATATCTATTATGGAGATGATTTATCAAAAACACTTCTCAGTGAATAATGATTTTTATCCGCAAATAAGAAAGTAAAATCTTGTTCTCCGAGAATTAAAATAGTCAACTTCAAACTCTATGAAATATTCCTTTCTTTAAAAGTACGCATTTTTCTACACAATCCACATGTCTTTCGAATGAGAAATTCACAAGGACGGCCCGCTTTTATTACACATATTTACCGTTAAAAATAGAAGATGAGTAGCTATACTGAAGATAATCAAATATATCCTTTGTCGATTAGCTAGTAATAGATACTGAGGAAAGCTATCTAATTAGCATTAAAAAATTTCAAATATAGAAATAACTTTTGTTTGAACGATTAGATAAATATATTTCTTTATATCCGATGTAAAACAAAAGAACAGTTTCGATTCTCTCAAGCAAAAGTATTTTATAGCAATGCTTCGGTATTAGTTGAAGCTGATATTATATATATATATATATCTAGGTATAGCCTGGCTAATGATTTTCTTTTCACGCATTCGAAGAATAAAAGTCAGACAAAAAGATACTCATTACTAGAAAAGTCACACTACAGGGTTAAAAAAAAAACATCGACATCCTTTCCTCGAAATTAATAGGAAGTCACACAATATCAATATTGTGTAGTGGCGGTGCATCAATGAACAAGTTCTCTTTAAAATTTATGCGCCACTGCCTTACTCAATTTGTAGAGAATTCAGTACAAAAAAAAACTACTCTTTCTGTAATTAGAAATACTAGTTACAATGAGTTTTACATTTTAATCGCTGATGGATTGTGATAGTACTGTTTTACTTTTCTTGAATTCGTATTTTCTCCAGTGTAACCACTTCTAACAGGAAAAAAAACATGAATATTTCGATGTCACTCTGTACTCTTCGAGTGATCAGATGATTAAAACGTGTCTGACTTCCAGCTATCAAAAGCAGTGATAATTTAATCAGCAAATCTCTTTACTCTAATTCGAACCACATGCTGTCAATTATTTGCAGAACATTTGTAGTTATGATCTTATATAATATCTATTATTACAAAGATATTTTCCTTAATATTCATGTTCTATATACAATGAAAAAACCTCGCTATACAACTAAAAGATTCTCTAGTCAACCAAATTTTCATTGAATAGTTCCGATTTGTTGCCTAGTTCATATCACTGCTTATCTATTTTCTTATGACGTTCTATATTACGGCGTCGCCATGCAACATTCGTTATCTCTCACAGGCACTAAAAAACCAATATATATAATTATATATAAATACCTCTTTTATCAATAGTCGAATAGTAACCTTCATCAGTGTGTGAAAGCCATGCATTTCTCTCGTAGAATTTGTCTTTTTTTTTCTATTATATCAAGTGACTCTCGTTGAATGTCTACGATGTGCGGTTGGTTGCAACCTTGTTAACTTTCCACTCAATGTTACATCCCCGACGAGTGTATGTAAATATGAAGAACGAGCTAATGCCCAATGTTCAGTAGTAGTGCAAATCTATTTCAACAAACGATTTGTTTCTGGTTCATTATATATAGAAAATGGGGCTAATATTGCGTCCCGTTAGATGGAAACTAAATTTAGAATTGCACCGATTTCATTCGTATCAACTGTATGATATAGATGTGGAATGTCGGTGTGCCGATATTGATGGCACGCTTCGATGATTCTCCTTCCTTCTCTTTCCATTGTTCTAATATCTCTCTCTCCTGTCTCTCTTCTATCTCTCTCCTATATATACGTGCGTCATGTATGAAGTTGGTACACTCTGGAGATGTCAGATGACACAATACACCATCATGCCGACGGGCATAGGCGACAGTCTCTAGTTTTGTCGTTACACTCTGGATAACTTGAAGTAGCCTAATAAACATCTTTGCCGAGAGTGGCACAAGCTAATCCAATCCAGTTGTTCGTTACAGTCGGATAGCTGTGATTTAGAATTTCTCAACGAACTCACGACTGATAGTTTAGCTGATTTGAATGCAAAATCTATTCAAGAAAAATTAATTAATCTACTATATAATTCAAAGCCTGATCCAATAGATATTCAATGCACTAACAAATTATGTACATCGACTAGTTTTTGTCAAGCAGACCTTGACAACATAGTCACATGGCAATATAACTATACCTTTATTAATGGAAGTTTACCGTGCATTAACATGTCACCAAATGATAGCTCACTGGAAATCAATCAAGCTTTTATAGCTTTTGGCAGTCAAATAACAAACATAACTCTTCGATGCAATCATCAACAATGCCATAATAATAATAGAGCTGTATCAGAAGTGTATTCAATAATGCGTAATGAATTTGCTTTACCACTTAATTGTTTTTTTTTCAATACGGATACAACTATTACAACCACATTATCTCCATCATCTGGCGCTTCATTTATGATACTTTCACATGGGCTGATCATTTTATTAGCTATACATTCTCTCTTATTAGTTTTTTTTTGAATAAATATTAGAAAGACAAATGTTACTTTCTATTCTATCATTCAACTGCAATATATAGACGACACTAAAGTATAATAAGTTCTACGATAGCAAAATGCAATTATTTATTGATGAAAATGTATGATAAAACTCTTAAACAGATTGAATTCGATGCATCATTGGATTTTGAGTGTGTATGGAATACACATAAATGTAGTGGAGTGTATATATCGCTGGTTGATTGTCTAATCAGTTCTTTTATGAAAAAGAAAATAAAAGTGAAGTTTTCGATAATTTTTGCAAATAATTGATGAGTCGTTTTAATTTGATTATGAATACGATATTCATATAAAATGCGTGGATATGCATCGCATAGCAATAGGCATCTATGTCTATCGATAGTGAGCACAATGGCGTACATGATTGTGATTCCCATGATCTCGAATAGGTTTAAAATCGGCGAAGCATAACCAACAGAATTCATGTTTACAACGACTACATGTCATGTGATCGCATCCGTCATTCTTTTGAATGAATATATGGCACGCCGGGCACTCCTTTGCATGATCACGTAACCAATTTTTGTTCTGTTGGAATTCTCTATCTTTAATCAATTCGCGATCATATTTTGCGCATGTCATTCCAGAATGCCATTTAATGCGATGATGGGCGCACGTTTTTTCTTTACAATTTAGACATGTGAACATTGGACCCGCACCATCAACGAGTTCACAGCCCCAACCACAGCCATGTGCACACCAAACAAAATTTTTCATGTTTTCGACGTATCCCATAGCCAACCGATGCCCGAATGCTTTCACTGCTGTCTTAGGGCGGTCAGAAAATGGGTTGAAATCAACTAGAAGTCTTTGAACAGTATCGAAATCAAATAACGCATTGCAGTTTAGCTCTGGACAGTGCACATCAGTCGTTACACTATCTCTGATAATGCTATGTGTTGTCCTACGCACACAATCAGTACACATTTGGCGTCGATCATGGTTGCATGTTGCACTGAAACGCTCACCAAAGTCAGCGATCGGCTTCTCATCGAGACAGACGGCACATTCACGAGTGCGCCGTTCTTTCCACCTAAACAGATTCTACAAATGTTAAAACAAAAATAAACAGTTTATCAATCACGGAATTTGTAGTATTGCTGGTGTTTGTGGTCGAGCTGAAAGCTGTCCTGATATCGGCAATTCACCACGATTTCTCATGGATGAGAAGGGTCTGGTTGCTGATAGATATCAAAAGTATATATAGATATGTTGTGCAAGACTTATTTTCAAAAGTGTCACTCTAAGATTATTGGAAATAGAATAACGAAGTGAATATGATCTCAAATTATTTTGGTGTATTAAATAAGCATAATAATGATCAAAGCGGTACGTTTTACAAGTTTTCTTACCTGCCAAACATTCGTCAAATGTTTTATAAGTTGTAACAGGCTCTTTCTCTTGTTTATCAATTACAAGCAACTTGTCTAGTACTACAATTGGCTTTACCATTAGTCGATTCGGTACACGTCTACGACGCATCTTCAGTAGCATTGTCTGATTGGGCAAAGGCGTCAAAGTTCTTGATGGAGCTACTTCGTATTCAGTCATTCGTAAAGGCGTAGGGCTTCTTACAGTCAATACAGGCGTGTCTTGTTTACCTATTCAATTAATAAAAATAATAAAAATGAGTAGACGAGTAGTCATTTCGATACTTACTCTCTTCGGATTCATCATTTACGCGTTCATCAGCTATTCAAAAAGTTAGAACAGCTACTACTGTAATATCTCAATAAGAATATCCGACTCACTTGACTCTTGGTTATTACTGACAACAAGTTCCGATTCTTTGTATCTAACAGTACTTCTCATCATGTCAGAAGAATATTGTAATTATTTATTACCTTTGTTCTAATTGTAAACGTAGTACACATTCTATTTCTTCACAATCCGCATAGCTTCGTTGATACTTTGCCTGGAAGGCTTGCTTGAAAAAATGTATCGATATATTTCTATGGATGAACCTTTATCACACCTACCGATTGTTGTGCGTATTCTTCACATTTCGTTAACAAGTTCAAATATTCAAGTGCCTTGCAGCAAGCTAGATATGCTTGTTCTTGATCGTTGTCCACCTCCAAATATTCGTTTGTGTCATTCTTCACTTTCTCATACTGTCGCCTCAATCGTTTAAGTGCTAAAGGTTGATTACGGTTATCATGAAAATCAAGTTGAGCTAGCAATTCAGCCATGCTTCTAGCTAGATGAAGAGGCCTCGGTTGCGCCATTTTTATTTTAGCGAAACTGATAATAATCGACGAAAATAAAAGTGCAGAGTACCTCACCTGACTTTTTATCTTCAAAATACCCGGCTTCAATTTATGAAAAGCAAATATGTTGCGTTCTTAGAACAAACTGACAAACATCCAAGTGTTAATTCAAATTGTAGCAATATTATTGGATGCTCATTGACAAGTGAGTTCGAAGAGTGTAAAATCTATTCATGTATAGCTAGGCCATACATTAATTGTCTCTAAATAGAACAAACGTGTTGGGTTATCAGAGCTCAATTCGATAACCACATTTGTACCGCAGGACAAAGTTCGGCAAGGAAGCTACTATCTTCACAATGTTTCTACGTAAAAAGTCTATTATGATGATGAGCCAATCATGGCCTATATAACATATTTCTTTACTTATCGTAGTGTGCCATTGAAGTTTTTCGAAACTGTGCCGTCGTAGACCGTGACTAAATTGATAATAATATTTGTTACATGCCATTCCTATGAATGATGGTAAGCAGTTCAGTTCTATAGTGGCAGTAAACTTGCATAGATGTGGAAGTCTTTGTACTGATTCAAGTATACTCTTCAAATGTTTCGTTTCTATATTCTTGTCTCAGAATTCTACCCTTTTTTCAATATCATGAACATTAAGTTAAGCATTGCTTTGGCATTAATTATTCTACGTATGACTAACAGATGGAATAAGAATTGAATTGAATGGCTATAATTATTGCAACTGACATCATACATTAAAAATCTTGTAAATAAATACACGAGAGATAGTAAAAAATGTCGTGCTCATAGTTTTGATTAATTAACACTTCCGAACGACTCATTGTAAGTAAAATAAGAGCATTTATAATTAGAAAGAGTGCTGGCGGCCTATAAGGTGTTTCACTAAACGTATTACTCTAATATTTATGATTTACATATTGTTCATTTTACTTTTATCAATATGCAATAGCTTCAAATATGAATAATATCATTGTAATAAACAGTGACAAAATTCTCTACTACGCATTTCATTTAATTGTAATCGTATTATCATGTATTTTTAGTAGCAACTGATTCTTAGTAGAAGCTTTTGCAAGTACAATAGGTGAAATTCCATTTATTTTCTATTGCGTTGTATTTTATTTTTCTCCTTAGTCATCAAACGTTCTTTCTATGGTAATGCGTCGGATGATTCATCTCGATACACACATAGAAACATGTTTTTCTGTTGTGGTAGACTGTAGTATGAAGCGATGCATGAAATTTTGTTTTTATCTATAGTTTTTTAATCATCTGAAGTTTTCAACATGGCACCAGATCTCTTTCAATGGGGAATCATTTATGATTCTCAGACACAGAAGCGAATTAAATGTAATGTACCAACAAAAACGCCGATAAATCGACGAATAGAAGGCAACTTTGAACAAGTCACATGTGGAACAAATTATACAACTATTCTTGATTCAAATAATCGTGTGTATATCGTAGGTGACGAGCCGAAAAATGGTCGACTTGGTCAAGGTGACGATACAACTATAGTGCCGACATTGACATTGATCAAAGGTCAACTTCCACCGATTGGTTTTATTTCATCTGGACCATCGACAACTATTTTATTGACAACAGATAAAAGAGAATTGTGGGGTTTCGGAAAAGGTATTGGTTATGTTGCTAAACAAATTCTACAATGTGACCAATCAATAACTCATTGTGCTTGTGGTGAAAACTCAATTATTGTTGTTATCGATGGTGTTCAAATTAAAGAACGACGTTTTAATCGAGATAATTTCATAACAGAATGGACTTGTGTTTATCGATTATCTGATCCTAATGATAGAATTCAACATATTGATACTGGATCGGCTGTGAATGGATTTGTTAGACAACAAGGTCATGTTTATTTGTGGGGATCAACTGTACCGTCTGGTAAAGTTGCAACAGAAGAAAATTTTCGAAATGTAACCATTAATGAGCCAATAAAAAAAGATTTAAATCTTGATAACGACCGGCCAGTACAAATTTCATGCAGTCGTGGGCAATTCCATGCTCATGTTTTATTACTTACTGAACAAGGTTGTATATATGCGATGGGTTCAAATTATAAAGCTAAATTAGGCATCGAGGCAGATCAATTGTTTACTGGTGAATGGACATTGATTGAACTAACACGTACATGTCCATTTAAAATGATCGCTACTGGAGGTATTCATTCAAGTGCTTTGTCAGCTGATGGACGTGTTTTTACTTGGGGATGTGGATCTGACGGTCGTTTAGGACACGCCGAAGCTCAAGGTCATCGATATTTGTACAAAGAACATGAACCAAGACCAATTGATCTTTTAAATAATAAACAAGTCAAATATGTTTCTTCGTCATATTATCATATGGCAGCAATTGTCGTTCAATAGTTAAAAAAAACAACAATTCTTTTTCTCTGATACGAATCAATGCGAATGATGATTCACTAATTTGGATCGATAAAAGATCATTGTCTTTGTGGAATTTCAATTGAATTAAATTGTAAGATTGTAAATAGTAAAGCCCGAATTGTCAAAGAAAAGCTCGAAACCTTGATCAACTATCAATCGGCTTCATTGTCTAAATCGAGTTTCATATTCTTCAGAAATTTATTTTGTTGATTTTTTCGATTTTACGATATTTATTGATTTTTTTCCCGTTCGTTTATCTCTCGATTTCAACATGATATAGCAAAAAACTATTTTCGATCTTTCTCAGGTTTACTAGACATACCTACAGCCTTGATTTCATAGCAGAGAAAAATTGACATTTCTTATTGATATGACAGATTCTAATCTAAATTATAAAGTTAAATGAAGCGTATTTCTAATATGAAGTGACTGTCATATTACATTTTCTATACGAAAAGAAAACAAGAATACTACAATGCATGTAGTTTACATTCCTAACAAGAGCAAATTTTTTTGATGCATGATCGATTGAGGGGTGTCCAAATACTGAGGATTAGCAATTCCTCATCAGTTCCCCTAAAGTTCTTTACATACTAAACGTAAAAATATGGAATATTCCCGATAATTTTTGTTCTTACACTCATTTTCACTTGCAAAATTGTGAGAATCAATAATTTCATGCAAAAATCATTTTTAAAACAGCAATATCGCAACTTTCGTGAATGGTGGCATTGTGAGGGAACCAATAGTTGATTCCTATTTCCTCTAGGAATTATCACAGCAACACTGGTAATTCCTCGGCACATTAGGAATTCCCATTTCTCAGTCATTGGACACTGCTGTTGTATTGGCTACAGTCACTGGTATCATTCTCCTAATATTTTTGAGCGCACATGACAACACATAAAAGTAGGTATTAAAATGTTAATATTTTTATCCAATTCATATCATCAGATGAAAAAAAACACGAATTATATTGACGTTTTGCTTCACTTCACTACAAATGTACAGGTAGTATATCCAGTAGCCATGCTGTCATATAAAAAAAATACATGCTATAGAGTAAACAAACGTTTAATAGAAAAATGCTATTGACAACGCGTGATGCACAACGTGAGAGAAGATCGTCGCAAGCTATTGCAGCAATTGCTTTAGCTGAAAGATTAAGTCTTGTTGGTATTAATAATGCCGGTTTTCAAGTGGATTCATCATCCGGTCTTCATACATCTAATATAGTATCTCGAGTACAATCACAGTCACGATTTCAACCAGAACGGTTATCAACAGTCGTGGATGTTACAACAGAGGAACCAACACCTCAAAATACAGAACCGACAACAACTTTTTCGAGAAGACGATACCATTGGAGAATGATATATTATTTTTATGTTCATGTAGTTTTATTTATTATCAGTAGTCTATTGAGTGGTTTAATTGTTTGGCTTATTGAAAATCATTCATCTGCACGTAATCTCGAAATGAAAGTAGACTATATTGATGCGTGGTTTGTGGGCGGTTCATGTGTATGCAGTTGTGGATTGACAACGTTAGATTTTGCAAAGCTGTCACGTGCCTCTCAAAGTGTACTGATGTTTTTTACATTCATATCAGGGGTGACATTCAGCACATTGCCAGCATTGATTGTCAAAGCTCACACGCACAGAAGAGTCGAAGGAATAACTGTTGATAATGATCATGGCGGTTTAGACGATGAAAATCCCGATGAATTACCAACATTGAATATTCGGCGTCAACGAAATTTACCAGAACATCTACGAAATCGACTGGCACAATTGCCAACTGCAGCACAACTTCGTTATCGTGCTTATATAACATGTATTGTTCTTATTATTGGTACTTGTTTTACTATTTATACAATTACATTTGTTGCTGTTGGTAGTTGGTTATCGGGACAGTATACATCTGAACAATTATTACAAGGAAATTCTAGTGTTAATCCATGGTTTTTTTCATTTATTGTCACTGTAACAGGTTTTAATCAAAATGGATTAACACCATTTTCAGACGGTCTTTCACGTTTTGTTGATGATGTTTTTCTCAATTTATTTCTTATAATGGTAAATAATTGCATTTCACTGAAATTGTTTGACAAGTATTTTCTTTCTTTTTTTTCTTTCTAAATAGATAGTGATGAGTGGAACATCACTTTTTCCTTTTCTATTACGAAATGTTGTTATATTAGTTCGTCGTCTATCTCCATGGAAACACAAAGTCATATTTGATTATATTCTTCTAAATAATCATCGTTTATCTACTTTACTTTTTCCATCTGTGCAAACTCGTATTTATCTGCTTATAACTGTTTTATTATATATATTGGGCGTTGGTATTTCACTTATACTCGATTTGGATCGTAAAGAATTCGCTAGTTATTCACCTGGTATACGGTTTCTTATATTTCTTTTTCAAACAGTCAACACGCGCTTTTCGGGTTTTCAAACTATTGATATAAATTTATTGGCTTCAGGAACATTATTAATTTATCTGCTACTAATGGCAACTAAACCACAGATGTTATGTGCTTTAGATGAATCTCCATTTGAAGTATCTTGGTTGGCAATACAAGCAAAAGAAGAAGCTAATGCTGAAACAGATTCCTTAGTGAAAGCTAATGATTCGTCAGAGCCATTGGATCATAGTCCTCCGCTTGAATCAATTGATTCATCATCATTGCCAAGTGGTACTCTAACTATGCGACATGTACAACGTTTTCTACGCAAACAAAGTTATACTATTAAAAGTCGTGCTCGAGAAGAGTTTACTAATGCAGTCCCGTCCGGCGGACGCAGCTATAAATCTCGACGTTTGAGATATTTACGTACGCGTTTGTTTCTTGTCTATTTTGTACGATCTCTTATACAACATATATTTACTTTTGTTATTTTGACTCGTACTTGGCTATTCTTTTTTATATTTCTTATATGTGCAATTGAATATCGTCAAATGGCACCTGTCGATCCAAATATAACTGTATTTAAAGTCATTTTTGAAATTATATCAGCATTTGGAACTGTTGGATTAACGCTTGGGTATCCAAATGTGGCATCAAGTTTTGCGACTGTTCTGTCGCCAGCCAGTAAAGTTATACTGGTTATAACAATGTTGATGGGCAGACATCGTGGTTTACTTGCATCAATGAAAGATCAAGAAGCTATTGAACATAATGCTGCCGATTTGCTAAAGCGGCGATGCGAAGAAATTATTAAAGAATATCAAAGCACAACATTGTGCACTAATGTTGCTGATACAGCAAGACCAGAAGAAGCAGCCACACAATTTTAAACATGCATTAGTAGTGAATCAAATATTGCTATTTGTAACAAAATGTTTTTTTTTATATGTTAATACATATCTACCTAAATAAAGTATTTTAACCTTAACGTGCTTTGTATTTCAGACAGTTGGATACAAGCACGTTGACACAACAAAATATCGTTTCCTTAACTTCAGATAGGGTAATTGAAAGCAATTTAAAAAATATTTTGGCAAATTCAGTTGTGCCGTCGGGTTGGTTTTCTGTTCTATTCTGTACCAAGGAGAGTTTTGATTCTCAAGAAACCATTTGGTTGTACGACGTACCACTATATGATCAAGTCCCAGGTCGAACATACACGGTCGTATACGACGGTAAATCGCCGTATTTGGCCGTATTACGATCGTAAATCTCCGTGCCGTATACGGCGAAATACGGCGCTTTACGGTCGTTTTTGATCGGATTTCACCGGATTACGACACGGAGATTTACGATCGTAATACGGAGCCATGTAATACGGCCAAATACGGCGATTTACCGTCGTATACGGCAGAATACGGCCCGTATTTCACCGTATACGGACGTCGTAAAGCTCGTCCTGGGGTGGTTTAATAAAAAAAAGTTTATTTTTAGAGTTCTCTATAAGATAACACATACTAGAAATAGTGGCGGAACCACGATTTCAGTCTAGAGGGAGCTCAGCTCCATCTTAATTATTCAAAGTCTACTTACGATAGTAAAATTGTTTTTTGAAAACTGTCATGTTTGAGTCAGTTTTCTGAGCCCTAATATCTTATTCAATCAGTTCTTGCTCATATATTTATAAACATTATGTTTATATCAACATATGAATGGGATTCTATATTTAAATGTATTTCATATCACTTAATCACATTAACAAAATTCTACTATTTTTATGTTGTATGGCAAATACATCAATAACCTTTTCAAAATCTATGTCAAATTCTCTTTCAATAGCCAATACACTAAGATCACTAAGTCTTTCATCACCCATCGAATTTCGAGCATAATTTTTAATCAATTTCATCCTGGAAAACGACCTTTCACATACGACGGACGACACAGGAAATGTGACAGCACCTTTGATCAAAGCCACAGTTGAAGGAAATGCTTGTTTCATTGGTTTTAATTCATTAAGTATATCCATTATAGTTGACAATTTAGTATCTTTAATCACGGTTTTTGATTTACAATTGGCATCGATAGAATTACTTGAAATTGAAAGACTTGCTCATAAAAAATGAAGAGAAAAAAGGTCTAAGTTGTTCTTAGTCGATTAAAAATAGGCAAACGGCTATGCTAACTTCTAGTATTTGCATTGAAATTATTTAGTAAAGATAATTTGACAGTAACAGCCTAAATAGCGACAAAATTTTCTAGAGGGGGCTCAGCTCCCCCAAGCTCCCCCTCTGGCTCCGCCACTACCTAGAAAGAAATAAAGTCGATCGTTTAACAATTTGTGATGGTATTTTGCTTGTTCTCCTTTTTCTGTAGTAAGTTTTACGCCCTTATAAAATCTCCCTCGTCTTTTATCTTGCTCGATGATAAAATATTTCATATAGCTTATCTAACAGAATGATATGTGCTACGTCGTCTGAGAAATTTAGTGAAGCGGCGTCATATACTCATAAAGGATGAAAATCATTTCAATGAATATCTTTCACACTCGACAGTAGTCAAAGTAATCACATAGATTGGTTAGTCACGGGAGAATAAACTTGATTTTCTGATGTGGCACAAAAATTGTCGATTTATTCTTTTTTTCTGATTAGTAATTCAAAGACTATTCCATCATTTTTATAGCCAAAACTGACAGTTTCTCTGAGATCTCACCATTATCAATACACAAAACCCATAGTTCAAATCAATAGAAATTTTTTTTTCAAGCAAGACAATCCATTTGTAGACAGTATCTGTTTTAATCGTCCGTTAAGGCTTCGAGACGATCAAAAACAATGAGTGTCATTCATTGATAAAACCTTATCATGACATGATATAGAAGGTTTGGATTATTGACGACATTGACATTTTTTCAGTTCACAATAAATATTGGTAAACACTATCGGGCACTAGCCAATAGGGAAGAAAAGGTCAAAGTTGAATGGTTGCTCACAACAACAATAATCAATCACATTTGTCCTCTTCCACGATTGGTGAGCTCAAAATAGATAAACGAACCGGTGGTCTATCTGATTTATCATCTATCAATCATGTCATGTATATCAACAGCAGTGTGATCGAATTTTCAAACAATTTATTTTGATAAATTGAGGACTAAGCTCCTAGCTTTGCCCTGAATTAAAGGTAACAGTATTCGTTTTTTTTTCTTCTTTTAACATTCATCTACACACACTAATACGTATGTATATATGAGAGCATTATACAATCTTTCTTTCGTTATTTCACTTGAGCATAAATAAGAAAAACGAAATAAAAATGAAGTTGTCACTAAGATAAGTAATGTATACACAATCATGGTTGATGAACAAAAGTTTTTTTTTCAGAATAAATAAACGATTCAATTATAAATCTAATAATTGTTATTAATAGTTGTTGATATATTGAAAAGTATCTCTTCACTTGACTTTTAGTTTTTTTTTCTTTTATCAAAAGGTATTTTCTATAGATGTAAAAAAATGATCACTAAAATTTGAGATTTTATTTGATCGATTTTCAAGAATTATTTATCTCTTCAGATGCTATATTCTATTGTTATTATCGTTGTTTATTTATCTTTCTCTCATGGCCAAATAAATGATACTGTCGTTCGTCAAACTCGTCCATTATCATCGTTGACATTTGATGAAATTATGGTTGATGGTGCATTTGATATTTTTCTAAGTCAAATATCAAATAGAAGTTCTACTCCGACGGTCGAAATTGAAACAACTGTCGATATTCAAAAATATGTTATTGTTGAAATTATTAACAATCATGTTCTTTCGATTCATATTAAAGGTCCTGTAATGATCGATAAAAATATTTATGCTTATGTTCGATTTAATTCACCTTTACGTCGTTATACGATTAAAGGAACTGGGAATACAATGACCGATGATAATGGAATATCGAACGATGATAGAAATACATTTGTCTTAGATCATCGAGGTGTAGCTAATGTTGCCATGGGATTAAATGTGAACAAGTTTGAAGTTTATTTTGCTGGTACGGGCAATAGTCGTTTCTGGGGCAAAGTTCGGCAAGAGGCAATATTCGATGCGAAAGGAGTCGGTGATATTAATGCACTAGATTTATCACCTAAACAAGTAAAAGTACGCGCCATGGGAGTTAGTATCATACGTGTTGCAGCAACAGATGATGTTCAAATTGAAGTCACTGGCATTTCAAGTGTATACTATCGATTACCTTCTGGAAAGAAACCAAGTAAAGCTAAATCAACTGGACTTGGAAAAATTGTACCTATTGCTTAATTTATAAAAAAAAAACATTGATTCATTGAATAAATATTTGATTGATAAGTATAATACAAGAGGAAAAAAAAACAATCTTTGTTTTTACATTGTAACGGTTTTATAAAAATTTTCTCTCTGCAATCGTTATAGCTACAACACATATGAATGTGATAGTAGGATGTTTCCGTGCAAAAAAGATCTGTTTCAAGCACAGTTTCACAAGGTCACAACGTTGAATAGTCTGAAACTCGTGTAATATCTGTTTTTGATTTTTGACATGTCTATAAAGTCATTTTATACAAGTGCACCACCTGTATATTATACTATATGACTAGTTTATAACTGGGTCAAAGAATATATCCAATCATTTTTCTTTTCGGTTAAGTGCTACAACAATTTTATCTTTCGAACTTTGATAGCTGTTGACGATATCTGAGCTGTTTTCATTACTTTACGGTAATAGCTTTCACTGTCGCAAATAACTAGCGGTTGTCGTCGAAAAATTTTGTTTTCGATATTTATGATCATCAAGTAGATACGATAGAAAAAGCTTTCAGTCGTTCGAAACTGACATAAATCAATTTAAAAAGTTATTTCATACTAACCGCTCACGAATTTTCGCAGTTTAATGCATGCAAGACAATTTCCTCATTTGGCAGAGGTTGATTTGAGCAAGGAACGGGAACATATTAAGGCACAAATCAATGAAGCTTATCAAACTGTAAGTCATCATAAAGTGCGTAAAGTAGACCATAAAAATGTATTACTCATCGGGCGTACTCGTACTGGAAAATCGACAATTAAAAAAGTACTCGTCGATCCTACAACAGTTGCTGATGAAATGAAGCTTGTTGCTCAAACTCGAACAGCTACGATTGAGTCATATATCATCGATGACAATGCAACGGTATTGAATATTATTGATACACCCGGTCTATTCGAAAGAGGTTCTAGTGAAATCAATTGGCAGGATAACAAGGCAATTTTGAAGACAATTGAAACATGCATTGCACGAGAAATTACTAAATTTCATCTTGTCTGTTTTTGCGCGTCGTTCGAATCTGGTGTTCATGAAGAAGATGTGAAAGCAATGAAGTTACTCATCGATTTTCTTGGACCTGATTTGACTAATAATGCTTGCTTGATTGTTACACGATGCGAATCGAAAAATGAAAAACAACGTGCAGACTTGAAACATGAAATTGAAAACGATACAATGTTCAAACCATTGGCTGGATACTTCAAAAAAGGTATATTATTTTCTGGTACACTTGATCACGACTCATGGAATAATGCCACTGATAATCTTTACTATCAGTTCGAAACCGTTGTGTCCTACCGTGAGAAATTGATCGATTTATTAACTAATAATGTAGAACCATTTAATGTCACGGAATCCAACATCACTGCATACCGACTTGCCATTGAAGAGCAGGAAAAATCGGGCACAGCTAAATCTGGCAAGTGTAACATTGCATAGATATTTTCATTTATTTTGCTGATTTCATTTTTCTATTATTTTTAATTATTCCAAGATATGCACACGATTAACTAAAAGCATGTATTCTAGATAATTATGGTTCTTACACGCTCGAAAAGAGATGTTGAACAGCGACAACAAGAAATTTTAGATGCTTTGAACGATTATTATAAAACATTGAACTGGCCATCACAATCGAGTTCGATACATAAGTATATTCTGTTGCTTGGACGCACAAGAGCTGGCAAAACGACGCTGAAACACATGTTGGAGGATCCACGATACATAGATAATGATATGGGTTTGATCTCCAAAACTCGTGAAACTGATGTTAAAATGTTCGATATTTCACAATCGAATTTAAGGCTGACGCTCGTCGATACGCCAGCGCTGATCGATCGACATATGTATACAGATGAAACACTATCGATTAATGAAAGTTTCAACCGCATAAACTCTACATGTCTCAATAAAGATATCAAGGAATTGCATCTAGTATGTTTCTGTATATCGTTAGAATCAGGAATCAATGATCGAGATTTGGAATTAATCAGACAATTACTCGATCATTTCGGACCCGAACTTGCTGAACATCTTTGTATGATTATTACGCGGTGCGAATTCAAAAACGATGAGCAACGACTTAAGCTGCAAGACGAAATTGAAAATGACACAGCATTCAAACTAATTTGCAAACAATTCAAAAAGGATATTTACTTTTCCGGTGCACTTCGGTGCGATGACTGGAACCAAGGAAGTGATGCAATTTTGATTCAATTCAAAAATGTCTGTAATTATCGACAAAAGTTCATCGGATTATTTCAACAGTCCAATACAACCTACAAATTGAAGCTTGACGATGTCAGACCAGCTAACGAAACAGACTCAAACAAATCTTTTTGGCGATGTAAGTTTAGATTTGTTCCGTCCTTCTTTAACAATACCACGAGCGAGGATTTATTACCATTTGTATTCTTTAATAATGTTTGAGCTCATGAAGAAAATATCCGAACTTCTAATGGGTGAAAATTTTCGATAACTGAGCCGAAATGGCTTCACAATACTTTTATTGATTATACAAACGATTGGCAAATGATATCTTGCGCATAAAGTTTATTATAAATATAAATAATTAATATATGTAATCATCACCCCTTTTAACATCGATTATATATAGAAATTATAACGTATCAACTGATTTCTCTCAAAAGCTAAGTCAGGGAAACTAGAAAAAACACACCGGTTCCAAGTGGAGCGAAACAATGCAGAAACGATTATGTAACGATATATATATATATATATATAGTACTTTGCACAGTCAGTTCGGCATTATTTTGGTAGAGCCAAAAGATTAGCGCAACTTTTCCTTTCATTATTCACTTATAGCTTGTACCAAAATTCTTTCATAATATCAAGAATGGCAGGTGGCAAGAGTTTTCGTCCAATAAACAAAAAATAGAATCATGCTTATTAATAAATCTTGAATTTCTATTCTATTTTTTATAGTTTGTTGCTGTTGCTTATGCCACGAAAACAACAAAATATGTTAACCGAATACTATTTGCTCCCATCGTTAGACGTTCATTGACACGGATGCTTTTCGTATATTTTTTATTGTAAATTAATTCGTTCGCATTTTCAACTGTGATATCTTTGTGTGAACATAGTGTTAGTTAAGTTTCATAATAAATACAACTATTTACTGATACGAAAAGAAGCTGCATAACTTGCTCGAGTAGATTTCTACAAATAAAATACATAGTTTTAATTGCATAGTGTTCAATACACATGACCTCGGATATTTTTTCGTATATAGCATTCGAATAAAAAGAAAACACATAAAAATATACAAACAAGAAACGTTTTTCAAGGCATTAATTCACCAAGTTTTATTACGCAACTAAATCAAATGTTTAAAGTCGTTATTCTTAAAATTTTGATATTTTCCAAGTAAATTGTGCCTCGAATTCTTAACATTCAACTCTTCTCAATAACATCTAGTTTTTGTTTCGCTGAAAACAAACTCGGACATCTAGGCAATAAAAAATTGTGGTTAAGATAAATTCATACGTTAGTAAAAACGAAAGAAATTTAAAAAAAATACGTTTTTTAATTATTATCTATTTTCTAATGAGCTATACAACATTTGTTTAGTTGCTAGCAAAACAAAAACATCCTGTCATTCACGTCTGTGTCTCCGTTTGGTAATTTCAGTTATTATCATCGTGTTATTGTCCAACGTCATTCTCTATTCAATTCCATTCTATCGAAAACCTGATTATCTTAATGAAACTTATTTTATAAGCAAGACTCGTGAAGCATAAATTCATGTATAAATAAAAATCTGCCATGAACTATAATTTTATTAGTTGTGAGAAACTAATTATGATGAATTTTTCATGCTGAAATGATCATATGATTCGGTTTCGTTCCCTACAAATATTTTCTATCTAATTTACAGCAGGCCTCAAGTATTTATTTGAATGGTGTAGAAGAGGTCGAAACGACAAACGTCGAAAAAACAAGTAATTAGAAATAAAAAATGCCGAAATAAAAAAGCGGAAGAATGGTCGAAAGAAAATATATCGAACGAACAAATTATTATTCGACGTTTTCATCATTTGATATTTTTTCTTTCGATCTTTTCTATACATAATGTTTCTTTCAACTTATTTCTTATGTCGCATATTATTTCGGTTGATTTCATAAAAAAATATATTTTTTAAAAAAGGTACTCCAACAATGAATACAAAACAAAATGGAAATCCTCTAATATACGTATGTTTTGCTAGCAATCGCTTAAAGAGATATTTTATACTGATCAATGTAGCTATGTTTCAAAAAACCAAATTGTAACAGCACGGCTGCAGAAACAGATACAGCTCATATAATGAGAAATTTTGATACTCAGTCAATCCTATGATTTTGAAATGGCATAAATAAAAGTTGAAATAGAATGAAACAGCAATTTGTTTTTCTATTTTCAGTGATGTAATATCTGAATAATTAGTGGTTTTGCAAGTATTCTGGTAGTGCTAATTATTTTAGAGTATATACCTAATTTTATTCGAAGAAAACTAATTTTATTAATAAGACAACAAAGTAGATGAATTATCGATTCAAAATATAAGGTTATTGGAAAAAGCTGAAAATAAAAGTATTTGTTTGCGTAGTTTGTATCTGGGCAACTGAATACATATAGATAATATCTAGACGAAAAGTATCACTTGACTACTAAGCTAAAATTTATATTTTACATTGAATCATCAAGAACTTCTGCTGAATTCATACGCAACAAAGAAAAAGCGTTGATAAGAAATTATTGAATCAAAGGTGAAGTATCACTGTTGTTCATTAACGTTCTCTAATAAATATTTACCAATCAACGTTTCATTAACGAGTAATATATCAATATATATATTTGTTCGTTTTGCATAATTTATTACTATTAAAATGAGATTTCATTTTTGGAAATCCATTTCAAATAATGAATTATTCATGTTAGAACAAAAAGCATGAGATGTAATCCTTTTTTGTAAGTCAGCATTTCGTTTTTTTTTTAGAGTATCTTTATCATGACCTGCTTATTACTTTTGTCTTGTAACTAGCATTGAACTTGCTTACGAACACACAAATGAACAAGAGTTGATCTATTGAAGTTTAACGCTATTAGATATACCCAGATATTTTCTCTTGAAAAATTCTCAACTTCGCAAATAGTTGACAGAAAAATTCTGTCACATATGTATGAATCACGTCGTTTCAATCAAATATTCCTCATTTTTCGTGGAAAATCTTGTTTCACTTGATTATTTTTCAAATGTTTCTACCACTCGAATTAAAATTCTGTGATGGCTTCTTGATTGGAACGTAACATATTATTTTGGAAAGATAATTAATACAATGCATCATGCTATCATATAACTATTCGGTCGAAGCTTATTTTAGTTCAATTAATATATTCTAAATATCTTTTATGAAATCAGAAATTTTTTAAAAGTATTCATTAAGATGATCATATTAGAACATTGATAAAAGAACTTTAATTTAAGTATCATGTTATTTTAATCTTATTTTTTTAGCATCGCAAATCTGTAGATTTGAGTCTACCAGATGACAATGCTTGATTAAGAAAATCTTTGATTGCCCATTCCATTGCACCATTTCGGCTCTTTTTTGAACTCTTACCGGCAATGCCTGGTGCATTTGAATCACATCGAAAGCGTGCATCCCATACCCATCGAAGTTTCGAAATACGTCCTTTCAAATTTCCCGTACATGGAAGCCCACAAATAGTAATAGGCGTATTGGCTCCCCAGTTGTGCACTTTCCAAATGTTAAATGCCAATTGACCAGCACATGACCAGTAGTTTCCAGTAGCCACACCGGTTGCACATGCTTCAATGGGAAAAGTGAATTGTTGACCTGATGTATAGCTGTTGAATAGGAGAACGCAACCAAGAATGGATGCACATAGAATCAATGAATTTTGCATTGTAAATAATTCGAGAAATTAAAATTTCAGTAGATGTTGCCTAACTGAAAATAAATCGTATATATATATATATATATGGTCTAACGATACAACACAGGAAGTACTCTATTTCTTAGATTTTGTGGGGGAGTGTTATTAGATACAAGTGGATAGAGTGAATAACTGAATTAATTAAATATATCCCTCATATGATAATTAAAAGTGTGCCATTTTCTGATAGCTGATACCATTGCAAAAGGAAATAAATTATCATCGTTATTTATGTCAATGGCTAGTGCATAAAATATTCTATTGCGTTTGTCATAAAATGGTCAACGGTGTATGTGGAGAGAATAATGTTAAAGCACAAAACCAAGCGAAGTGGGAAATTACGAAAACATGAGTGAGAGAGAAACCTGATCGATTGACAGAACTTATTGTGAATGACAAAATAGGAACTTTTGTATTTAAATCATTCACAGATCGCTAAAATAAAACTATAAAATATCTCTTTTTCTACTTAAGAACCAAAATAAAACATCATCTACATGCTCCAATTTACTGAGTATGAAAATCAATTTTTTTCAAATAAGTTTTTCGGTGGTCCTAAGATTTATCTTCTTAAAGTTCTGGTTCCAAAACCAAAAATAACATGCTATTACACCCTACAGTAGTGTCAAACTTGAATTCAATTATTGAGCTACGTTTTAAGTATTCAATAGTTAGTCTTCAATTCAGATATGCCAGTATTGAATTATTCATATTATTCAAATATTCAGACAATTATTCAACTTTTCGCCGATGCGTTTGATTACGAGAAAATTGCGGCAATTTATGTCGCATTTGCATGAAACCAAAATGTTTTTATATCTGTTTCTCGAGGNTCAAGATCTGTTTTTTCAGACAAGAATCTTGTACAGAAGGAATGGCAAAAGAATCTTGTCTGATATTCAAGAAAAACAAGAACCTGGACAGATCGAAGTCAAGATCGTCGACTAGTGATTAGCTCATAATATTAGCGTTATGAGCTGCAGTTACTGTAGCTTCTACAATACATTATAATACGATCGTTGCGGCACAAATTTTGCAAAAGTGGTGGCATTGACAATTATTTAAGTTTACAAATTTTTTAGTTCAAACATTAAATAAATGAACTTCCAATATTTGTAATATCCCGAATTTCAAGCGAAGAGCCTCTTCATGAAGTGAAGTAGCAACTTTAATTTTTCATACAATGGATTGCCGAAGATTATGATGCGAATACATCTTATTCAAATTCTATAATATCTGTGCGAGTAAATTTAAAAAATGATCATGATTTATCGATAGATCTAATGATCTAGTATAACTTAGTTGAGATGACTGGTCTATGCTTTAGTGGATGTCTGTTCTGCGTAACATCCATTCTGAGAGAGATGATTTGTATAATATTTATTAATAGAGCACTATACAGTGTGTTGCTGAGAATTCCTCGAGTTATCAGAGAATCAAGTTTTTAGTTAATGATATGCTTTTCGAAAACTCATTATTCTTTGTGAAAACCAGATAAATATTTTTGCAAATGATATTGGGTTCGTGAAAACATTAACTCTACTTCGGAAAATAGATTTCTTCTATGGAAACTAGTCGAATTTCCTGGGCACTTGTATAAGATATTGTAGGATAGAATTCAAATGTCGAGTAGTTCAATAAATCAAAGGAAAACTTTGAAAATTTGAATACCTGCACAATTGTATGGACAGGTTCTACGGTTGTATATTTGAAATTCTGTAATGAGGTGTTTGACTCATCAATGATGAGACAGTCTGCCACCCAAACTGAGAAAATGCCCATCTCAATCTCTGTAACATGGTCTATCGTTACACTTACAGTCATAGTCAGTTACGAAAAGGAATAGAAATGTTTTCGAATTTTATGAGCAATCTCATAAGAAAATAATATCGAAAATATTCTATTCCTGTGATTTAATTAAAGGAAATGGTAACACGATCAATCAAAGTATCTGCTGTATCTATAGATTTTTACTTCAAAGTCAGAGGGAGCCACAAGTAGCAATCTTTTCGAGAATTATCTCATTTTCGTTATGCACATTTAGAAAACAAAATAAATTCATATCATTTTCTACTAAAACTGAAAAGCAGACACTATTCTAAAAGCGCCATGGAATGATAGCAAGTATGTATGGGTGATTGTTATAAACCAATAGAAAGTAGGAAGTGAATATTTATTAATCTATCTATCTTACAATATCTGAAACTCAATCACTCGAACTGAATCTAGCTATTTTATCATTGTTGAAAGATACATGACATACGTACTTTCGCGACAATAGTAAATATTTCATCTACGTCATTAAAAAAATAGTTTCTAATTTTATAGGATAAAGACAAATAGAAAGTGCTTATTTTCCATTCAAGATGAATATTGAAGATGAAAATCGATTAAAATTAATTGAAAAAGTATTTACACGATTTTTAATTCAAACTCAATCGGATAGTCCACAATTATCTCGTGATTATTTCGAACGATTCACTCAATTGTTAAATCAAACTTTTCAAAAATATTCACAATTAAAATCATCTATTGAAACAATTATTTCATCAATTATTTATCCTTATCATCTATCAAATATTGTTACTTTTGAATATCAACTTCGTTTAATACGTTTTTCATTACGTCAACATCTACAAATATTAGAATTAAATAAAAATGATTATCTTCATGAACTTTTTCATCATAAACTTTTACTATCTTCAAGTATTGTTCGTCATTTATCATTACAAATAGCTCTGCTAATTTATGAACATGATTTCTATCAATCATTTGATGATATTTTCTTTTCGCATATTATTAAACTATTTTCATCAGATCCAAACCTATATGTTCGCAATATTCTTGCACAGTTTTTAGCTCTTTATATTTCTAAACATGATCAATATCAATTACTTAATCAAATTCAACAACAATCTCAAAATGCAGATCTTATCTATGACATTTTAATACTATTTGATGAAGACAAACAAAAATTATTAATTAACGAAATGAATATCTATGAAAATCTATTAGATAGCACAGCAACACGTGCTTTTGTATTAAAAACGGCTCGATATAAAACTGATGAAGATCAAATTGTATTTTATTTAAATCGAGTCCTAGAAAAATCTTTATCCGATTATGTTCATATGCTTTTAACAATTATTTCTTCGCGCTACGAATATCATCGATCGATAAATAAATTAAGTGCTTGTCTTAAAGGTCTTTTCTTGTATATAAAAGAAGTAGACATTGAAGAAATTGATGAACATGAACAAAATAGTAAGTTATGTTCTCTCTGTTCATACTACGCTTTTTCAACATTTCGCGATGGAATTGATAGCTACTGTTTCATTGTCATGCCGTTGGGATATTTTCTTGATTATATAGACGAACAGTTGCCTAACTCAAATTTGATATTTAGTGCTGTTTCAAATCGATCGCAATTAGAGATGTACGGACACATTTTTTCGGTCCCAGTGATTCCAGCTCTTCTATTGTCTGACGCTATTTAGATCTCTCATTTTAAATTCTTCTTCATTACTCGTACATTTTATTTAATTACTAAAACTTTAACCCAGATCTACTGTGTGTCACGGAAGTCTCGCTTTCTTTCTCTTGACGGGATCATATTGTTTTTAATATCAGTTTCAGGAATGGTTTAGCATATTTTTAATCGGAACATGCAAGAACTTCTTAATTTTCCCGATAAACAAAAAAGAGTTATTTTATTCGATGAAAAATAAATATTTATTTTCTAGTTTTAGTCAATGATAAAGATGAATTTAATGAACTAATAGAATCAATATGTTGTCTATTATATGAAAGAAACATTCAATCCGTGGATCTTGCATCAATTGTTCTTGATTCTATTCAAACATTTATAGTTAATTCGAATTCGTTTATTTATAAGCTTGATTTTTATTCTTCAACGATTCTGATGATGTTAACAGCAGAACATGATCATGATAAAAATTTTGCACAACTTATCAATTGTTATGAAAAATTAGAAGAATTTAATTTATTGATCAATACAAATAATAATTTATATGAAATTATTATTAGTCAAGTAAAAAATAAAAAGAGAACAACATTAGTTTATCAATCATTATTCAATTTAATACTTCATACCACAAATAAAAAAGCTCATTTTGAATCGATTCATTCCATTGTCGAAACACTTCTTTTTCAAGACACTGATCCATTATTACAATGGGACAATCAAGATTGTGTTCTTCATTTTTTAATTCAATTCATAAAACAAAATGAATATCCTTCTTGGTTTACGAACGAATTTCTTCGACGTATTATTGAAAAATTTGTTCATAATACTAATGAATATGTTCAAGGAAGTCTTATTGATTTTCTCGCAACACTTATTGCGTATGATTTCATATCGCCATTAGATAATTATCTTACAACAAATTTTATTCAACTTACACAATATTCTCTAGGCGATGTTGTTCGTTGTTCGCTTGCTCATGCATGGTATATTATATTAACTAAAGCAACTGAAAACAATTTAAACGAAAAAAAAGAAAATGATTATCAATTTTCTTTTGGCATAAATACAAATTTTGATTCATTATTAACCGTTGTCATGACTCAAGTACCTGTATTGATTGGAGATGGTGGTCATGAAACTGAAATTCAATGTCTTCGTTTAATAGAATTTATTGGAAAGAAAGATAAAGGATTAGACAATATACTTGAATTTCTTATGAATGATGGTTGTTCGAATGAAATTAAAGAAAAAGCTAGTCAATTATTATCGATTTCAAATGATAAAACTACTGAAAAGAAAAATGATGAAATACTCGATGATGAACTTACGTCGATTCTCCATTGGTTAGAACATCCCGATGAACATATGGTATTAGACTGTGATTAAGAGGAAAAAAATGATACTTGTAATCAGATTATTATTATTTTTTGTTATTTATTTGGTATAAAATACTCATAAGAGAAGAGTTTATATTTCAAAGAATCCTTTTCTTTTCGATTTCATTATCGATAAGAAACGAAAACCATATATTTTATGTTAGACAAGAGATTGAATGAATATCAAGTTCGTATTACTACTTGACAATGAATAGTTACGATTAGTGTTTGTTGTTCGCTAGTGACAAGCTTTCTATTAGTATATTTTACTTTGCTTGGTATAATCATTACGTCATCGCTGAACCGTAAACTTGAAAATCATTCTTTTAAACGATTACTCATCAATCAACCAACGCAAGAGATAATTAATAATCGGTTTCATTCGAAAATAAAACAGATCTACTGGAGTATAATACATTGCATTTAAAGATCGCCGCGAATGCTTAATAGGTTTTGATTTCATATTTTGCTCTTAAATAGGTTCCATTGTGATTAAAACATACTTATCTAATTTTTCTTGTTGAACCAGTTTACGTTACTGATCTGACATTTCAATTCTGTTGCATTTTACACGCTGCCTGTTCGAAGTGCGTTTTTCTCAGACCGGCAAACATGTTATCTTGATGCATATACAATTAATTCGCGAAGTTTCAACCATTACTAATTCTTCTCATTCGATTTCTTAGGTGGTTGATGAACACGTGGCTTATTAAGAATACGATAATGTGTTATTTTTGTACTATCCGTCAGTATGAAAAGCATGACTTACCGAGAGCAGTGTGTTAACATGGCTACATTCAATAAATTCAGCTATTGAAATTTTACTGTATATAGTACAATAATTTCTTAGCCAGATAGAAAACGCTTCCAATCAGGCTTTTCAGATTCTTGGTCAAAACTGCGATGTAACAAAGGATGCAAATTATTTTAACTACATCAGTGAAAACGCCGATATTAATACGCATTTTCATCTGCCCGAGATCTAAGCAAGGAAACATAACTCGTATTTCAGAAATACAGGAATATGCTTTTCACCTTGAGTTCTCATCGGTCCAAGTAGTTCATAAAACCTCTTTGAAACTCTGCATTTTTGTCTTTCCCCTTTCTTATCTTCTCGTTCAAACTGTTGAAATTGAAACACTTCAGCGTTATCTATAGTGTGACTAAACAAATGACTAGGTTATTAACTTAGTTTTGAGCTTATTGACTACTAAGCAAAGTAGACACTTTAGAAATTTCGAAGTTCCAATCAAGTCCTAAAAGACAACATATAATTATGACCAATTCAATGATAACCAAAGGAAGGCAACAGCACTTAAATGGTTTATGAACAGTAGTTCCTGTTTGCTGAACATTCAAATAATCCAAAGCAGCTTGTTAGAGATCGAACATAGAGTGAAAATCCGAGCTGCTTATTTTGCACGCGTTACTGCCAATAAAAACAATCGCTCAAGTGTATAACGCATTTGCAACAATTATGGTATACATACTGAAAGAGATTTATGGAAAGAAAAGTTTCGCTTTTTTTTATACGACTTTTTCATGACTGCCATAGATGACGTAGTCGCCGATGTTTCTGAAGATGTTCAGCTTATCAATACGTGTATCTGAATTCAAACTCACACCCACACCTCTTGAAAAGTCACTCATATGCAAAGAAACTTGGACAATTCCTAAAGCTCTTGCGTGTATCTGAACATGCGTAATTCAGGGTTTGGATATGTTACTTTTACTTTATTGGATCAGTCAAGCACGACATGTAATAGATCAAAGGAGATTTGTCTTGGATATTTTTCTCGGTTATGCAGGCAATTTTCATTGTGTTTCATTGTAGCCAGACACCAGCAGCGACTTTGTTTTTTTCAAATGCAATCGCGCCCATTATTTTCTCCAGAAAAAGCCTATTTTAACGTGTCTCAAGTGTTTGAAATGTACTTAGTTTATGCTGACTACACGATAAAGAAAAGAGTTTTGTTTTTGTAAAAAGCAAGCTTATGGACGTCAAGAAAATAATGAGTATAAGACTGCTACGAAGAACATTACTTGATTTTTGTTAAAAATCAAGTAATGTTCTTCGTAGCAGTCTTATACTCATTATTTTCTTATCTACATTTTACTGCTCTTCAACCACAATTTATGGACGTCATATTCTTCAGATTCACTTTCTTTTATTGAAAACATCCGCAGTTCGAATCACTAAGGTTTGTTTTGGTTAGAAAAATTTTGTCTGGCTGCACTTTTAAGTTTAATTTTTAATTTTGTTGCACCAACTAAATGACTTGTTCTTCGGTCAAAACATGACGGCCTAATCAAACGAACCGTTTTTATCAGGAACTCTTATTATAAGCTGTTTTAGCAGATGACGATCCAGCTGCTTTTGATTTTGAGATGTCTATAATAATAAAAATGTTCTTATAAATAAGAATCGTTTATGTGACTGAGATTTGAAGCATTCGCGGAATCTCGTTTGCATTTGTGGAATGATATTATAAAGTCGATTTGGCTATTCACACATTTTGTTGCTCTTTCTATATTTATATTTACCCTGTTTTCAATTTCAAGGATAAGTCTCTGTTTCGTGCTCCTAGCATTGTCTTTTCAATGTTTGACTGTTTTGCACCGCGATTTCAATGGCTTCATTTATGTTTAGAGTATCTCAACAAATATCATATTTAGTCACAAAAGTTTCATGCAGTTCATCGCAATGAATACATCGATTTTATATCACTTATTTCTTCCTCATTATCTACCATCATGTACTGAGGATGATTTTTTACTTGAATTGGATCATCAACATGAATACACCTTGTTAGAGTGTATGAAAAAATATTTGGATACCTTACAGCCGAATAATGGTGCTAATAAATTGCCCATGCTCGAAATGCTTACTGATTGTGTTAAGCGTTGGTGTATCTTGCAGAATCCTCGAAAATTTACCAAATCGAATTTACAGTCAAGCATTGAAAAGCTACCACCAGGAAATTTTCTTCCGCTATATTTCTATGCGCAAAACGCTGCGATTCTAATTGAAATCGAAGATAACAATATTGATCAACCATTAGTGTCATCTTGGCAAGTCTTATTACCATTTGAACAAATGACTTCTTCTTTTGTTCCTCATTTTTCTTGTTTTCCAGTAACAAAGTATAGATTGCGCAATCGATCTCAATTGAGCTCCGAAGTTCATTATGAATTGCTGGAAGATTTTATGCACAACACCATTGAATATTTCAAATCTTCTAAAGGTTCTCAACAATTCGATAATGTACGTGATGTACCAAAATCCCATTATATATGTCAATGGTGGATTCAACAGTTTGAAGGAGTCGAAGTCGAAAACAACTATAATATGGGAACTAAATTCAAGAAAAAACATCGTGATCATATCAGACACAGTGATACCAAACTACCGTTTCGGCGCTCAGGTTTATGGATGACGATTAAAGTAGTCTTTCAAATCATTCTCAGCAAGCATTTGGGAGATGTGGGTATCGTTGTTTATAAACTATTGATCACTCACTTTCTTACATATATTATTTTCAACACATATTTAACAATATCCATTGATCTATTAGTTCATTGCATTCGAAAAATCGTGCGAAGATTGAACAAAATCGAGCATTTGTTATCATCTATAAATACAAATGGTTTAGATACATGGCTTGATTATACAAAACAAGAAATACACAAGAAAATCAATCAAATTCTTCCAAAACTACATTGGCAAAACAACGTTCAAGCCGATGAAAAGAAAAAGCACCTAAAGTTGGAAACCAACTTTGAATTACATGATTCTAATATTTATCAACATTTGTGCCAAAAATTAAAAGTTTACCTAAATTATCAAACCGTGAATAAAACATCTCAATATTTTCCGGATATTTACACTAATGATTATTGCATTCACGTTAATCAAGACGATTATATACCATCGATGAGAGAATTCCTCGAAAAATTCAGTTACACGACTGGAATAGCATTAACTCGTATAGAAATTTGGGTTGAATCATGTTTAAAGCAATGGATTAATCGTCCAACAACAATATCTCAATATGAGAGAAATCGTTTTGAAGCTTTATTGGTATTATTCGAAGAATATCAAAATGCAGCATTAGGTTATTATTGGTCAGAAAAAGGCCCCAGAGATCCTATGGGTTATACTCGATTTATTTTAACTTCATTGACAATTATTCGTTCAATGCATCAAAAATTATGTGATGATCCAAGATTTACACGACTAAAACAACACTCTATTAATATTCCAAATCTTATGAATCTCTTTGAATTTTTGGTCTTACCAAACCGCGGAGATATGATTCGAGCTCGTGATCTCTGGAAATATTTTAGTGAATTTCATGATAACACATATCCTGATCTATTATCAAATATAAGCCATGTTGATGCATTTGGTGTATATTATGCCTCTCAGTCATCAGTGATGAATGAAAATATACAGAAAATTAGAGATCAGGCTGAATTGGATAAACAACAGAAAACACAGGAAGTCAAAAAAGCGAAACAAAACTATGAATGCTTGATGGATGAAGCAAGATATCGTGATTGCAGATGTTATGAAATACGTTATGGTTACTGCAAAAGATGTACACTTCAGCAAGAAGCTAACCGTATTACAGTTGAAGTTTACGAATGCCCGTTACCGTGCGAGCGTGAAGAATCATTCGCCGTTATTTTCGAATTGCAGATGCCTATTGAAATTCGAAGCTATCGTGATATCCTGTGGCAATTTGTGAATCGACCCAATCCCGTTCCAAAGTCTTCTATGTATGAATGGTTGAGAGCTCCACCTCATGCCAAAAGATTAGGACTATTTAATACCGGCCCTGATAACTGCAAAGTGAAGTTAGTTTCCTCCACAAACACTCGATATTTCCATAAATCGGTAGTTAAATCTATTGGTGAGTTTTTTTGCGAAAATAGTTTAAATGTTCAAATCTCACCAACAAAAAACATTAAATTCGATGACGAATGTAGTATATTAACGCCCCAACTTGATCATCCTGACTACAAACAGTTACAGTTTTCAATGGAAACTACTCAATTTATGCAAAATCGTGCCGTTGCTGAGCTATCTAAATGTCCAGAACGAATGAAGCCCACTCAATTTGTCGAATTCGGTTCCTTTCGATCAGGTCATCGCCTGCAATGGTGGAACCTTTTAGTAGTACTTGAAATGGATTCTTTGCCAATTGCCGAAGAAAGCGTCGCAATACTGATAATGCATTCAATTTTGCAATATGGACCTGTAGCAGTGGATCGCAACATTATCGACAACTCTTGGTGTCCGGAAGCTCACGAACAATTATTGGACGATCATTTTATCGATGAATTGATTTCGAGATTAGATCGTCGTTTAGATGACTGTGAGTTAAATTGGCAAAATGAATTAGTTTTAGTAATTATTACGATGATTACTATGAGAATGTTAACTATTTGTAATTCAAGCAAACAAAATAAAATTGTTGATTTAGCAATAAAATGTCGCAGAATCGGTGAAAACTGGATTGATCTCATTTCAAAAAGCATTCAAACTGTATCATGTTCAGCCTTTAATGAAATAGAAAAACTCCGCCGGAAAATTGTCATTGTTGGAATTTCATGCATTTTAACATTTTCAATTCATTCCGATCGAATAGACTGTTTACTATCATCAAATGAACACATGTTATCTCTACTGAAAGCGGCAACTACTATTCACGACAATATTATCTTGAACAAGAATGCATCTAATATGAGTATATTTGTGAGAAATATTATGAGATATAGCGAACGCATTTTAGTAATGGTACAGCCAACAGTTGCTGAATTTCTACAAAAAACTTCCTATGAAAGTTTAAATGATTTTGCTGCCATTTATTGGGCTGTGATTAGAACTAAAGGTGCTATGAAAAGTAAATGGAAAAAACGAACACTAGACTCCTATGATGGTTGGTACGATTGCCAATATGAATCAAGACACATATCAATAGATTGTATCAGAGGAACATTTTTAGTCGATAACATGGCTATAGGTTTTTTACCTGAAAAAATAACAACTGATCCATTATTTGTGCGCGTATTCGACAATTATATTTTTGAAGTTCAATCAGGTGAATCTCCTCAAACTTATATCACCAAATATGCGTATCACGATGATGGAAAAGTTCATTATGAATTTTATTTCAATGATATAAATAAAAGTTTGATAATTACTGAACGACATATTGAGGCGAACGAGATTTTTCAATTGATCCCTCACGATTGTTTCCTGGATGAACTACCTGATACTTTTGTCTCCAAGCACAGTCATTGGATGGACATGAAAAATGAAAAAATGGAATTTCGTCCTATTCGTTTTCAAGAAACTGATTTTTTAAATAATAAACCATACATATTATCAATAAACACAGGGTATATCACTACTACTGTAGATAATGATAAACAGACATTAGTCAATCAATCAACAACATTATTTCAAAATTTATTTAGCCGATACTTTACTCGTCTCGATGACCAGCCATATATTTATATGATGGGCAATGATCTATATGAAGCTGATATAATCATTCATATCCATGCATCTCGTTTAGGTATCGCTTTTGAATATAATGCTACTACCAACATAATCAAATCTCGTGAATATTCAGATATGTGTATTGATGAAGATCAATGGTTGGGAACATTAACCAGTTTGACATCTGGTCTTCTTCTATCACCATTGCCTGTCAATAGGCAAAAGCTGGATCATTATCCATATAAAAAATTAATTGTACCTTTCGGAAAAGTACACGCTAGAGAAAATCCCGACAATGGTCATCAAATTTCTACCATATATCGATCGTCGTCACTATCGTTTTCTCATCAATATTTTGTTTTCATTCTGAATGATCGATTAAAAATACTTCAATCAACAGATAGCCCTACTGGTTGGCTTTATCTAGCATTGTTACATGCAGTGACTTCTCATCCTTTACCAGATCACTATACTGGAATGACTGGAATGGAACGAGCTTTTCAATTATTAAATTCAGCTGGATGTTGGTCGGATCAACCATTTGATTCAACATCTTTAGACATTCTAGGTCAAATCGCATCCGTATCTCCCCGGGTAAATTATTATCCGGCAAGTCGACCTTATATGGAGCATATAGACTGGAATTCATCCGGTATACCATATTCGATGCAAAATTTTGGCTATTATTTGATAGCAAAAAAGTTAATCGATACTAGTCAAAAATTGAATTTTATGTATCCATCGGTGAAGACAGGTGACATACCTGAACTATTCAACGGAGAGATATATAATGAAGCATTATTAAAAAAGTTATATTGGGACTATCGAGATTCGTATAATCCTTCAGCTAGATTATCGATCGAGATGGAAGATGACATTCTACGTATTACTTCAACAACAGCATATTATCAGACTGTACACAATTGTTCGCTTGATACGAACTATAATTTTGTTTGTCTTGTCAATGATCTATATAAGGATGGAGATGTAGATCTCAGAGACTGTTCAAAACATCATTGGTTACCGTTGTCTCAATGGTTGCCGGATGCAAACAAATTGAAAGATACTTGGATTGGTTTATTAAAAATGGCTGTTAGTACTAAAACAGAAGCAACTAAAAACAATACCGATGACATTAAACGATTTGAAACTTTACTAGACTTTCTTCATTATATTGCTAAAAACTGTCAAATCAAACCATTTTATTTGCAAATGCTGAAAACGTCATTACAAATGTCTACTGCATCGCTAATAAATCTTGCATTTCCGCCGTTTATTTCTTATCAGAAGATCGAAGAATTTATGTTTTTAAGGGAGCGCATCAATCTTCGCAACAATCTTACGTTAAGTAAAATGAATCAAATTTTAGCAGAAGTTGAAGCATGTTGGTGGGGAAATCGAGAATATACAACTTCTGATGAATTAATTAGTTATTATGAAGTAGATCAGATCAACGCATTATTGAAATTGTGGAGATCGAACAAAACACTTCGATCGTTTCTAGAGGCGGTTCAAAATCAAATTTGTTCTGTTCAAATAGAACAGTTCACTACTAAAGTATCTCTCTATCCACAACAATTTGAACGTGAACAAACCAAAGATCATTATCAAATTCGAATGAAACCGACGGACAAATCAATCGATACAATACTTTTAACAAAGGCGGAGCAAAAATTTCATCATTTCAATTTAGGTTATTTTAACAAACCAACTAAACCTAGCCAAATCACTCAACGAAAAAATACATTTCCACAAGAAATCTTTCCTGGTGTCACCAATGAAGATAATTCTCTGAGAGAAATTACTGACTATTTTAAAAATCAATTATTAGAAAGTTGGAATAAGTTTCTTTCGGATAATCAAAATGAGAAAGAAGACCCGACAACTGAAGAAATCATCACACTTCTAGATTCGTTTCGACAAGAATCTCGAACCTTATGGAATGAATTATTTAACTCAATAATATTATCGAATGAACAACTATTTGAAGCAGGCCTCCTCCTAAGAATCACACCAACAACTCTCATACCTTTACTGCAAGAAAAATATTCATATCTTAAAAATTCTTTATGCTTAGTATTAACTAAAGATCAATGTACATTACTCGGTGGTATTATTGTCAATTGGACGTTAGAACAACAAATGGAACGAACTTTACATTTTGCTATTCATGGCAAATGGGAAGATTTCAAAAAAGAAATTTCGCATACGCCACATTCCAATTGGAAACCATCGAAATATATTTCTTGGCTTATCTTAGAGTTAGAAATGAATATTACTATTCGCGAAATTCAAATTAGAGTAGCGTATCATATGATAGAACCAAATATGAGAGCCAATAATTCAACAGTACGAAATATCGTCATGCAAATGAATATGGGTGAAGGGAAAACATCAGTTATTTTACCAATGTTAGCTGTTCATTTATCTTCATCAAATTCGAGTTTATCGCGTATTATAGTACTTAAATCATTGTTTCCAACAAATTATCAATCACTACGATATAAATTAGGTGGCTTAATTAATCGACGTATTTTTCCATTTGCATGTCGTCGTGATATGAACTTCAAGGATCAACAAGTCAATCAGATTTTCGAACGTTTTACACACGGGTTACGTAACTGTGACGTTATATTAACTTCACCAGAAGATATTCTTTCGTTTGATTTACTTACTATCGATAAATGTCGAAGAAATGAATTTGCCGCCGGCCGTTCTATGTTAAGCATTCAGCGATGGTCAAGAAAATATGTTCGTGATATTTTAGATGAATCTGATGAAATTCTGCATGTTAAGTATCAATTAATTTACACTGTCGATGGCCAACAACAGGTTGATGGAGGCGCAGAACGTTGGAAAACGATTGAAGCAATTCTTGAATTAGTCAAAAAACATGCTGGCGACATTTCACAATGTTTCAGCGAACATATCTATTATAAGTCATCTGAACGAAAAGGTGCTTTTCCACAATTTCGTTTACAATCACAAGAACCATTTCCAATGTTCTGTGAAAAAATTGCGAACGATTGGATTGATAGTAGAAATTATTGTTATAAAGATAAACCAACCATCTTATCATTTATTTTAGAGACAAATTCATCAATTGAAAATCTTGCTGGTAAATTTCCAGCTCTTGATATTCAATTGTTCCTCATTATTCGTGGTTTACTATCGTCAGAGGTTTTGTTAGTAGCGTTTAAAAAACGGTATCGAGTTAATTATGGCGTCAATCCGAATCTTTCTTGCAATCGTTTCATGGCTGTGCCATTTCGAGCCAAAGATGTTGTTGCTGATAGAACCGAATTTGGTCATCCAGATATTGCCTTAGTATTAACACATCTGTCATATTATTATTCGGGCTTGAGCGATGTACAACTTTCTGAGTGTTTCAAACGTTTAAATGAACAAGAAACTGACCCTGCATCGATCTATGATCAATGGCTTTTATATGAAGGTGAAAATAATGTACCACAAAATATCAAACAATGGAATGGAGTTAATTTACAAGATTATCATCAACTCACTGTGTTCCTATTTCCTACGTTTCGACATAATATGATGGTTATCAATTATTTTCTAAATCATTTTGTATTTCCTCGAGAGGCAAAACAATTTCCATTTAAATTAGTTGCTTCCGCTTGGGATTTAAGTTCATCTTCACGGTCGAAAATTATCACTGGATTCAGTGGAACGAATGATACACAATTATTGCTGCCTGTTGATATTCGTCAATATGATCTACCAGAACTTCAAAAAACAGATGCAATTGTTGTTAATAATTTATTACAATCCGAAAATGAAAACTATCAGCCTATATTAATAAATGCCACATCAGAAAATATTTTAAAGCAAATTGTCAGCTACAAAGATACTATAAATGTTATTCTAGATGTCGGAGCATTATTTATCGACGGAACCAACCGAGAAATTGCTCTCGAATGGCTGAAACAATCAGATAAAAATAAGATTGATTATGTTGTATATTTTGATACAGATTCAATTGTTGTTTGCGATCGGCAACGTCATGATTATCCATTTGTAACATCTCCAGCAAGTGAACGACTGAATCGTTGCGTATTTTATCTAGATGAAATTCATACGCGCGGAACTGATTTTAAATTTCCTAGAGGATTTAAAGCCGCTTTAACATTAGGAAATGGTTTGACAAAGGACCGTTTTGTTCAAGCATGTATGAGAATGAGAAAATTAGGAAATGGTCATTCATTGACATTTTGGAGTCCACATGAAGTTCACCAACAAATTCAAATATTAAAAAAAAAGTCGTTTATTACAAACAAAGCAGAAGGTGACAATTGTTCAGTCAACCTGATTGATATTCTTCGTTGGGTCTATGAAAATACTCAACAATCAACATGGGATGGTTTACATCATTGGTCTTCACAAAGTTTAAATTTTCAAAGAAAAATCTCTGCTTTTCAGCGTATTGATTGGAATGATCATCAACAGAAATTTACGAATATAATAATGGAAGATTTGTCTAAAGAATGTTGTGAGCCTGAGATAATAGAACTGATCAGTATGTATGGTGCTTCGAAAAAGTTGCAAACATTATTCGACATTCATCACAATCGATATGAGCATGATCATCATCATCATCATTTATCGAAGGAAATTAAAGACGCAGTATTAAAACGACTAACAGATTATGGTGGAACAAAGCAACGTTTATCACAATTGTTAGACGAAGAACAACAGCGAGAACTAGAACAAGAATTAGAAGAAGAACGTCAATTAGAACGGCCACCACCTGTCGAACCATGTGAACCAATACTACACGAAGAAATAATGCGGCTGTGTGATATTCGTAGTAATACGATGAATTTAAGCAAGCATTCCAATGTATTTTGCCGTTTACCATATGCCTTCACTGACACCACATTTTTCAATGATTGTCAAGCTAACAGTTGGCAAGACACCGTTTGGGTTTCCACTGAGTTTCAACGTGTAATTGCAACGAAAGGAGAATCATTAAATCCTTTTTTACGTCCTCCACGATGGATGATGATCTATCGTAACCAACACTTGATTTTTGTCAGTGCCTTTGAAGCCAATTGTTTGATTGGTCGTTTAAATGCTCTGTATCACAAGGGAGAATTTAAAACTGTCTCAATGACGACATTGCGCTTGTTATTGCCGCGTGTTAAACGAATTCAATCAATTTTTGTTAATACACCCACTCTTACAGTCCCACCATTAATTGGACTTCCCGCTAATGCCACCTATTTTTTCATACCATTCGACGTGTTGGCCCAATTATTCATCTTTAATGGTAATCTTTATTTTGAAAATGTTGACGAACAAACAGCCTATTGTCAATGTTTAAGCTTATGTCCAAAACTTCGAACGAAAGACGAAGAGGAAGCGTTTCAAAACGGCTGGATTGCTGTTGATGGCTTCGTTAGTAGCGCTGAATATTGTCAGCTTTTAAAAATGAACAAAGTTCGATTCCGTTGTAATCTATTAAAATTTGTGAAGGAAATACTTGAAAATCGAAATAATTCACATGCACCTGTGACATCACATGTTGGTAGCATTATTTTTAACTCATTTAAACTGATTTAATTATACGAACAATGAATTTACTATAGAAATATTCGATTCAATGCCCTACTCTTTTTTTCAATAAAAAATAAAAATTAGACGAAAAGTCAATTAAGGGTGTGAATGTGTCAACATAGGTTGCGCATATATGGAGAGAAGCAGTTCGAGATAAAAGTGCTTTGATTCTCACCAGAGACGTGCACAGGACAAGATTTTTCGTCCTGCCCTTACCTGTCCTGCTGGCTACTTTGGTCCTGGCGGGCGTCAGGACAGGACAAAAATCGAAATCTCATCCTGTCCTCCAGGACAGAGTAGGACAGGACACCAGGACAGCAGGACCGCCCTGTCCTGTGCACGTCTCTGATTCTCACGTAAATGAAGTTTTTCTTATGCTTTATACGGTATCAATGTTTTTCTAGTGTATGTTTTGATGAGAAACATTTTAGAATGACTATGATCGTCAAGTTATCCGATGTTGCATACCAAATAATTAATCATGCTACTAAATAAAATTCGAAATTCATGAGCTACAATCTACTAGAAAACAAATGAAAGTAGCTAATTCACCAATCGATCAAAATGGAAAGGCTCATTGAAAATAAATTATTTTATAGTATTAATCATTGTCTCTTCGAAAGCATTCTACTTTATAGTTATACACAGAAACACTTTCCCCAACACTTGAAAAAATGGAATGAATGCGCCATCTCCAATTGAATTTCCCAGCATTACTCACACTCAAACTCTTATATAAAAAAAGCATCAATGTAATTATTCAATAATGGGACAATTCTTTTATTCTGCTTAGAAGTTATTCGCGTCATTTTATCTGACAGAGCTATTAAAATACCCACACCCACACCCACAACAACACGCTATTTGTCGCAATCAGTTTTATTCTTGCAAAATAACTGATCGACTGAGTTTTTATTTTTATTAAAATTAATGTATTTGAAGAAAAACTTCTTTCCCAACTTATATTGAGACGAAGTGTCCAAAGAAAGAACATCTAATTAATAAACCTTCATTAGACAGAGCGCGGTCTTCACTCATATATTATTTGAATGACTCATTCAATTTCCCTTCCTCGCTTTCCAACATACGTAACACGTGAGAGACAGAAGAAGTATTGTATTTCTTTTCGTTCTATTTCTATGTTGTCATAGATGAAAACATACTCATAGAAGTAATATATATATATATATATATATTACGCATATTAGTACGACATAAAATTTCAACAGAAAATATTTCTATCGGCAATGTCTCACGCTACGAACGCATCCTTTGAAACTTTACCAGTGGAAATATTTCATCGTATTTTCGATAATCTTGATGCTCAAACTATTGTCTTTTCAATTCGATCCGTATGTCGATTGTTTCAAAGAATTGTCAATACCTACAATCGATATAATTTGGATTTTAAATCAATATCAAAGTCAGATTTTCATCGATTTTGTCATTCAATTAATCCTCAAAATGTTACATCATTGAGACTTTGTGACGATGAACAAACTCCAAATCAAATAGCCTTATTCATGTCATTAGTTCGTCTTCGGCAATTTAGTCGACTTCATGCAATAAGCTTTCTTGGCATTGCAGAATTTCAATTGAACATGATTTTAAAACGCATGCATTTAAATTGTTTGACTTCATTTTCATTAAATATTCAACAATATGATAGTAGACGGCGAAAAACAACATTGAAATTTCTTTCGTCAATTTTAGTTCATCCAAGTCTTCGAAAAGTTGAATTAAACATAAAAAATGATCTTATACATAATATATCATGGCCAACCAATGTTCAGCTTGTTCATTTAACTATCGATTCCGATATTAGTTTTGATACTATGTTGACTATTCTTTCATGTTCGTCTCAACTACATACACTTGTTCTGAAACAAAACTTGCCAAGACTAATGTACAAAACGAAACAAACATTTTCTTTCCCACAATTAACGGCATTGACAATAGAAAATTTAAATGATACTATGGATAAACTCGAATCATTCCTATTGTGTTTACCATTACTTATTGATCTAAAATTAATTGGTGAACACTGTGACTTAGATGGTAAAAGATGTCAACAATTTATTCAGATGAATCTTCCCTATTTGAATAATTTTCAGTTCTTTATTGATATTATTAAATCAACACTTCAAACTCTGAATGATCTAGAACAAATAATTGAATCATTTCGAAATCCTTTTTGGACTGACTATAAAAAGTGGTTTGTAGCCGCTCAATTGAAGTCTGACCCCTCGTATTGCATTCAAATTTATTCAATACCAATTTGTAAATCTGTTCTTCGGTATGAATTCAATTCATATAATATTTTTCGTTCGAATTCGGCAATTTTGTCGAATAACGATCCATTGATAATAAAGAATATTAATGAACTTATTTTTCCATTGAAATCGTCAACATATCGAATTATGAATGAAGACGTTCGTTATAAGATTAAATTTTATTGAAATCTATTTCTGTTTTCATTTTATTTATAGGAATTAGCAACAAATACTCCTAGATATTTTAATGTAACTAAAATTGATGTAACTATTGATAGGCGAACTATTTTGGACTCATTAAAATTTCTTACGTCAGTAGTCGACGTTTCAAAATTGGTTGAAGTCAAATTAGAAAGTTTTTATTTTAATAAAGACAATCAAACTATGTTGTTTGAAATTGTGTCTATTCTTGATCAAGCACGTTCTCTTTTGTCCTTGGTAGTGCATAGTAATTATTGTAAATATGAATTGTATCCATATTTAAATCGTTTATGCTCAATAATTCCACGTCAGCTCAAACATTTACGAATGCCGGCCAATGAATTAAATCAAATTGAAGTTATTTTTGAACGATGTCAAAATCTGTCGATTGTACAATTTGAAATAACTCGTACGAAATTTTCGTTAGAAGTCATTAAGTGGTTTAATCAACATACAGCTGATTCAGCATTTCGAAGACATGTTGGATGTGATACTATATGGATTGGAACGAAAAACATTCTTATAAAAGAGAATCATAAACGGATCAAGTTGGATGAAAATCAATCAGACAATTGACATATTGTTTCATTAAATTCGAATAAATAAAAAGAATTTTCGATTTATTAAACCTGAATCTTTCGTTTTCTTTTTTCTTGCGGAAACGACACGAGACGCGAAGGTACACTTCTGTAGTAGTTTTGACGGTGAGACACACAAGCCCAAAAATAGCATTAAGGATTAATCTATTCGAATTGAGTCCTCTGGTGAAGTTGATTTCAAATCAGTTAAATGTAAAAAAATGAATGAGCTGTCACATTTTGATTTTATTTGTTTATCAATTTATTTTTGATCTGAAAATTTTTAATGTCTTTGTCGCCACTCATTTTGGCCAATAAAACAGAAAATTCCATCAGTTTCATCAGTCATATTATTTGACTATCAAATGTGGAGAACACGATTTAAAATCAATGCAACCAGCACGTATAAATTGTTCATCAGTAACAGAAAAGTTCGAAAGCAAATGCATTCTTTTCCGCAAAATATGGTTTCCTATGAATATGAATTTCAAAAAAAATTCTAAAAAAATGCCTACGAGCTATTGTTTAAAAAATATGAATTCCATCTCTCCATGCCAAAGTTGATCTTCTTAAAGTCAATGTAAATCCATCATCGATGAACGATTAACACTCAATATATGCGTGCTGGCCATTTGAATCTTTTCATTTTCTGTTGTAAAACCATCAATTGATAGACGTCGAAAATAGTTTTATTATTTGCTTAGAGTTTAGACAGAAGTGTGTCGAGTTGATTGGTAACAGGTTTGATCTATTTGTATGATATAAACATCGATCAGAAAGAATATCATAGAGTCTACTTTACCTGTGTGTAGTTTTTGGTCCACTTTTCATGTTCAGCTACATCCCCCACAGTAAACATAGATCTCGACGACATGTGCATATTTTTCAATTCTAGGGACAAGTTTGACACCCAATCCACCGCTAACAATAAGCACAATAGAATCGTATGAGGATCGCCCGATGAATTTTTCACATTGACCTGCATCAGTGTATGGGAAAAATTGAGAATTCTTAGCGCGTATTTTCTCCTGTACCATTTCATTGTCAGAACTGAATACATTAGCATCGAGCCAAACAATCATGCGTATACTTTTGTCTGAATGTGTGACAGCCATGATTATGCGTGTTGAGAACGCGAATGATTGTGACCGTGAGATTGCTTGACGATTGCGTTGTGTGCACAAATGTGAATTGTTATAAAAGAAAAACAAGCCTCTTTCTCTTTCGGTAGTCGTCAAGCGCATGCTTTATGACTACACGAGAGTGTTGCAAAATAAAAATAAAAAACCTGCTTTGAAACGAACATCCAGAGGCACTAGTACAATTCGTCGCATATATAGGAGAGGATACATTAATTGACTTAAGATATTTAGTGTAGACTGTTATTTAATTAATCACTCTGACAAATTTTAACAATAGAATAGAGATCTGAATTTACAAGTTTTTTTAAAATAAAATTAACTAGAATTTAAAAGACAAAAACTCAATGGAATTGAATTAAAAATGAATTTAACTTTCTCCAGTATGAAAATGAAAATTATATACAAATAATGTTTTTAATGCGGTGCGAAGCAGAGATTCATGTAGTGCGTCGCGAGTTTTTTTTATTTTTTAATGCGATGCGAAGCAGAAGCATTTCTGTATTCCGTCGCGAGTTTTTTTTATTTTTAATGCGATGCGAAGCAGAATCATTTATGTAGTCCGTCGCGAGTTTGTTTTTAATGCGATGCGAAGCAGAAGCATTTCTGTAGTCCGTCGCGAGTTTTTAATGCGATGCGAAGCAGAAGCATTTCTGTAGTCCGTCGCGAG